AACCACATTTTCCCTGGCGTTAGTCACAATGGCCCTTTAACAGAGGCACAAAAGCAACATCAACTGAGAGAGAGCTAGCGTTAGCACTTAGCCGCGTGAATGCACTTTTTTCCCCCCCTTGCAGGGATCATCCGTCTGAGCGAGGGCTTCCATGACCGCTACCCGGTGGAGGACTACCTGGACTTGTTCGACCAGGCCGCTCACCTGATCCAAGGCAGCTTGGCGGCTAACGACAGTGGGACGCCGAGTCGGCCCGATGTCATCATTGGTAATATTGCGTCACACTTTCGTGGGAACGACGGGTCAAATATTTGCCAAGTTTGCCTCGTGTACAATAATTTGCAGTTGCACAATACGTCTCTTAAGCAACTAATTAGCTTCTAACCAAGCAATTAAGTAACCCACCCCCGAACCAAATAAGCAAAAAACAGCCACCTAATTTAGCATGCTGGAATTTACTCCCCCAAAAAATTTACTTGCCGCTAACCAAGCAACAAACTAACCAACCAATCAACCAAATAAGCTAATTAATATGCAACTCGCTAAGCAGCTAACTCAATACGCTCCTTGCTTAGCCTTATCCGAGCTCAAAAGAAATCACGTCGCAACTATTGAGCGCAGCTTAGCTGGCTCGTCCCGTTTTGTTTCTCAGTTTACAGAAATAATCCGTGGCGAGGCACTAAATCCCCCGATCAGTATTCACACGCCGTGCCTCAGGGTGTCTCCGGCCAAAGGTGGCGCGCCTCTGGAAAGCCGGTTTGCCGCATCGCCGCCTTCAACCTTCCATGTACATGAGCCCGCCTTTGACTTTGGATAAGTGCAATAATTCAGATTTCAAGTTATATTTTTTGTTGCACATTATTTTAAGAAAAAGGTTCCTTATCTATCAATTATGTTCAACAGCTCGAGTCTTAAATTTACCGTAAAACTCCAAACCACCAGCAGGGGTGATAAGGCACATTTATGTGGTTGCCAATTGAATCCGTAACTACAAATTCTTTACTGGAAGCTTTTACTTTTTTTTTTTTCTTTTTCCATAAGCGCATTCGCCCTCCAAAAATTCAGAGCTCTCCACTTTTGTGTTTGGCAGGCGAAGCCAGCGCCTCCACCATGTGGGACAACAACGCCTGGGTGTACTTCTACGACAACGCCACCACCAGAGGGGAGCCACCCTTCCTCATCCAGGACTTTGTGCACGCCCTGCAGCCCGACGCCCGCTTCATCGTCATGCTCAGGGACCCGGTGGAACGGTGCGCAACTAACGGTTGACAATTGTTTTCCAAGGTAAAAATCGATGTTTGCAAATGTCTCATTGTGATTCAGGCTCTACTCGGACTACTTGTACTTTGGCATCGCCAACAAGTCAGCGGAGGATTTCCACGAGAAGGTGTCCGAGTCCCTGCAGCTGTTGGACGGCTGCCTGGCCGACTCCATGCTTCGCTCCTGCGTCTACAACACCAGCGTCAACAATGCCATGCCCGTGAGTCCCGCGCCACGCCACACTGCAGAGCTTGGCACTGAGCGTTCTCAACTCGAGCACCGCCCTTCACGTCTGCGCCCCCCCCGTCCCAGTGCCCCCAGAACAGACCGGCCCATTACGGGCTCGCCACGCTCCACCAATGGCCTAATTGCCCATTCGCTAATATGACCTCATGCTTGCTGGAGCATGCAAAAATGCCTTCCAGCTGTCCTCCTCATCCTGTGAGAAAAGTTTGAGGTCCAAACGACGGCGCGTTATTTATTTTTAGACAAAAAGTCAATCTAATGTCATCAAATTTCAAAAACAAAAAAATGTATTCATATTCAGAAAATGAAAACAATATTTTGGGAGGAAAAAAAAAGTTAATGGGTGGTTCCATACCACTTTTTTTTGGTTTGTGCAGGTGCGACTGCACGTGGGCCTCTATGTCGTCTACCTGCTGGACTGGCTGAGCATCTTCAGCCGTGAGCAGATCCTTGTGCTAAGGCTAGAAGACCACGCCTCCAACAGGAAGTACACCATGCACACCGTTTTCCACTTCCTTGGCCTGGGTGAGTGTGTGAGATCGATATACAACGAGGCACGTTAATCAGCCGGACAAGCGGCACGCAATGTTGCAACTGCGTTGCATTGATCGGAAAAGTGCAAAAACACGGGCTCAGTAATTATAAGCTCCTCCAGCGGAAACCCGTAAGGGATGAAAATCTACTTTTGGTGGCTATAACTCAGAAAAACATTCAATGTTGGGCCAGTACTTTATATTGAATACAGACAGAAAATATACAGTAGAACTTTGAGATAGTCATACGGATGTACAGTACACAGGACGCTCTCAGCTCCTCAATCAGCTGCAGTATCAGTCGCTCTACACAGAGGATAAAGTATACATGCCTGCCCGTATACAACTGATGCTATTTGGTAGCACATCTATTGCGTTTCGCATTTTTTATTTATTTATTTATTTATTTTTTTGCTTTAGGGGCTAAATGTACAGGCACTATCCAAAGCAACAGGATTGAATTAAATAGACATATAGTGGCAATAGTGTTTTTTTTTTAAACAACTTCATTTAAACAGCTTTATTCTTGAACAATATTGATTTTAAAAAGTTGTACTCTTCAAAATATACAAACAAATTGCTTTCCAAAAGATGTCCCCCCCCCACTCCCCCCAAAATTTATAAAACAACTTTATTCATGGATAATTTAGACATTCTTTTTGAATATGAATTTTTACCAGCCTCAAAGCATTCAACTTTCATAAGATTATGACATTTTATCCAAAATTAAAAATCTGACTTTTTGACTGTCTACCCCCCAATAAAATTTGTTTGGTTACGGCTCTATCAATGACCATGACGATGATGAAGTAGCTTGTGCAACAATACCCTCTAGTGGCAATTTTTTTGGCACTTTTAATTCATTTTGTACCTGAAAGGACTCTCTTGTATTTTGTGGGAACGCACCAACAGGGCCACTGAGCCAGCCAATAGAGTCGGAGCTGAACAGAAGCCCCGCTTCCAACAGCAGGAGGCCGGCCGACAAGGACCTGGGCCCCATGCTCCCCGCCACGCAACGCGTCCTGCACCACTTCTATGCGCCTTTCAACCGCAAGCTGGCGCAAGTGTTGCACAACGACGCCTTTCTCTGGGACTCTAAACCCTGACCTTTGACACCCGACCCAGACAGTGAACCACCGCTATAAAACAAAATCCCCCAGGTAATTGACACCTGCCCAAAAAGGCTTGTAATTGCCCGTAGAAGCCACAAGATGGCAGCAAAGAATTTTTTTTTAATGTAATCATCCAATCATTCGATTATCATTGGCATCAGCTGAAAAAAAGAAAGTACAAATCTGTCGGCCCGATTTAACTTGTAACACACATAACCCCGCCCCTCATTCTAGCTCAATAACCACTCACGTCATCCTCCTCCTCCTCTTCTTCAAATGCTCATTTAATTTAATTTAAATTATTTTAAGTTATGAAAGCAACAGAAATTAATCAAAGATGGTGAAAAGCACAAGTGTGTGTGTGTGTGTGTGTGTAAGCGACCTACCTGTTTGCCCGAGAATGTACAATATAAAGAATTTTTTTTCAAGAAAAAAAATATATAACGTGTGGTCCTTTTTCAACAGAGCACATTTTGGGGGCTAAAATCGTCTATAAATAATACAAACCATATCTTTGTTTCAAAATGCATTGTTTGGAGAGAAATAAATATTGAAATAATTGTATTAGCCTCCGAGCAGAGATGACAGACAGTTGAAAAAAACATTTTTTCGGAAAACAATTTAAGCAACCACTTTTTGAATAGGATGTTATTTATTGATTTATTTTTTAATGACAGGGGCAATATTGCTAACAGTAAACACATACCTCTTTTTCCAGAATACTGACCTTTATTCTCTATTTTGGTTTTCATTTTATCTCCAAAGGAAGTAACAACTCTTATATCTGCTGTACTATTTTTTTAAAAAGACCAGTATTAACCATAAAACATATGAACACAAAACACAACTTGACTTACCTTTACGCGATTGGAGTTGCTGGAAGTGAGGATGTCATTTTAGCTCACGTGTGGGATTCACAAAAGCAGTTGCGCTTTTTGTTGAGGCACAGATGAACGTTCCACATTTGTCATCCACAGTCCAAGTCAGCAGACGTTTTACCTATTCATAATTGAACCCATAAGTGTCACAAACAAGCTGAAACTTTACACGATCTTATTTTCACCTGCTTTGGAAGTGTACTCCTCATCCCTGTCACCACGTTCACTGAGATAGCGCTCATCACGGTCCTCGTGCGAGGTCTTCGCTTTGCAACGATGGATGGAAGCTGTGTTCATTTGAAAGCTCAACAGAACAATTAATGAACAGAAATTACGTTTACAAATCACCACCTTATTTGGTAACAATAACAAATGCTCAATACAGTGTCAGTTTATCAAGAAAGTGCGTCCGAGTGTTCAAAGCCTTGAGATACACCGGCTAGCTTCGAATAGAAGGACGCCGCCTTCATTTTACGCTCCACAGAAAACTAACGAACAGATATTACGCTTATAATTCAAAACACGCGTCACAAACACAATTTACCTCAAGAATGGCGGCGAAGCAAGAGTCGAGTTTCGTAGTCCAAAAGGTATGGAGCGTCCCCGAAAACAGAGAAGCTAACGCTAGCAAAACGTTCCGATCTACCGTCCGTTTCATAATTAATCGACAGGTGTGCACGTGGGTTTGCATTTTGATGACGTCATGCTACGGAAACTCAAATCAAACAAAATATATGAAACCCTAAATATGCGATGCTCGTGGGATACTGCTTGCGTGTGTGCGTGCGTATGTGTATTTTCTTTCGCGTTTGGTGATTCAATTTACATCGAAGTTCAAATATCTGTAGAGTTGTAAAACACAGATTATGATATACAGGTACAGCTGTTTTTTTTTTTTTTTAATTATAATCTGTAATATGGGTTCCCGGTACTTTTTTGTGCATCTGCTCATTCTAGACATTCCAATCAAATTCAATGGCTTAGTAAATTTAGTGAAGAATGTCCCAAATTATTTATTCATTTTTTTAATAGCACAAAAGACAAGCCCGTAGACAGTCAAACCAAGTGTTTATTATCTATCCATCAATGGAAGTAATGACTGTCATTCCCAAGCACAATCTTTAAAAGTTGCACAAGTCGGAGAAGCAGCAGGAAGATGTAGAGATGCCAGGGCTGTCTAGCCTCCTGCAGTCACTGAATGATGAGCAGCCTCGAACGACGCTGGGGTCTGTGGGCAAAAAAACAAAATACACATATTTGGGGGGGGGGAGTCATTGCACCCATGTCGAAATGTCCTTGAGCAAGAGACTGAATCCCCAGTTTCTCTCTGTGACAGCCATTCACCATTTAACAATTTAACACCTGCTGAACGAAATACTCACAGGAGCCATCGTGAAAGTTAACTGTGGCACAGAAATCTTGGAAAGGGCTGCAGGTCTCCTCGAATAGAAAACAACCATGCCCTCCTGAGCAGTGACACTTCAGGGCCTCGCCTGGACAAAGAAATTGGTTCTTAAAAAGCACAACCCAACACGATTTAGCATGAACGAAGCACAGCACAGTCACCTTGGCTGACGAGCAAAAAGACGAAAAGAGCAAAAAGGATGCACTTCATGTTGTTCAAGCGATGATCCGACTGGATTGTTGTTCTTCCCAGCATGGTCTCCTTTATATGCAACCTTCCAACCGAAAAAGTCATAATCTGGCACATAAATAGAATAAATTTCATCTTAATCCAGTATTTATTTACTTATTTCTTTAGGAAATTACTTTCTTACACAATAGTACACAAACATGTGCCAGAGGTTAATAAAAAGCTCAAATAAAATAAACATACCTACTGGTACTTTATTGCAACACACGCTTAATGATGACCCTCCAAAAAAAATACAGCATGAAGCAATGCCGTGATGATTCCCAGCTTTTCAAAGGTCATCTGATACTTTTTTTCCTTCAGCACTGTTGAACTTTTACTACTTTTACTCTTTGGTAGCAAAGACTTCTATTGCGATTTTGAGCAGTGATTCTTGAGACTTTTTTGTGGGTCCACTCATGATAGACATGGTGACCAAATTTGATCTTGACAGCAGACATGGAGGTCAGCGGCTTACTCAAAAACCCTCCCGGAACATCCAAAAGCATCCGAGCAAACCAAAAAGGCTGATTTCCTGAGTCTTTTCAGGAATGGCTTCCTGAGACTTTTTGGTGGGTCTATGCATGATAGATGTGGCTATTGAATTTCATGTTGCGATGAGAAACTGGATTTAGGGGCTGAATTTTTGGGGGTTAAAGCCCCATGATGAAAAGGAAAACTGTAGGATAATAGCGTTCTTCTTCTACGCTATGAAACAAAAAGCAACAAAAATTTAGAGGGGTGGGGGGGTGTAAATATACATTGCGGAAAAAAGCACAAAAGACAAGCTTGTAGACAGACAAATCAATGGTTTTATTATTCATCCATCAAGGTAAGTAGTGAATGCTATTCCGAAACATGAACTTCAGCTGTTGCACAAGTCTGCGTCGCAGCAGGAAATGGAGTCGACGAAGGGCTTGTCGTGTATATTGCAGTCAATGAACAAACCGCATCTTTTCAAGTAGTTTGGAGCTGTGGGCAAAAATAAAAGAGATAAAATACACATGTATTTTACAAAAAACAAAGTGTTTTTTTTTTCCATGAAGAAGAACCAGTCTCCTACGGTTAAAATTGTATTTTTAGTGGTTAGTTAGTTTGTTTTGTTTTTTTAGAAAAAAAAAGATGCAATTTTGACACAAATGCTTTTTGTGTCAAAAAAGTTTTTTTTGTTTTTTTTTCCCCGACAGATTTCACAACCTTAGACTTTTTTCGCTTTTGTTAAACTAAATAAAGTCTTGATGTTCTCAGGACCAAATTAAGTTTTTTTTAGAGGGGAAAAAAACCAGAGGAAATTTACCAGAATAAAGTCATAAGCGTTAAGAAAAAAATCACAATCAAGGGTAACAATTAAAAAGTTTCATATTAAAATTATATAAGTTCTTTTTTTTTATAAAGGATATAGGCATAGCATTAGCTAAAAATGTCAACAACAAAAAAAAAATAAGTCCTATTTTTAAAAAACAAAGTGTTTTTTTTTTCCATGAAGAAGAACCAGTCTCCTACGGTTAAAATTGTATTTTTAGTGGTTAGTTAGTTTGTTTTGTTTTTTTAGAAAAAAAAAGATGCAATTTTGACACAAATGCTTTTTGTGTCAAAAAAGTTTTTTTTGTTTTTTTTTCCCCGACAGATTTCACAACCTTAGACTTTTTTCGCTTTTGTTAAACTAAATAAAGTCTTGATGTTCTCAGGACCAAATTAAGTTTTTTTTAGAGGGGAAAAAAACCAGAGGAAATTTACCAGAATAAAGTCATAAGCGTTAAGAAAAAAATCACAATCAAGGGTAACAATTAAAAAGTTTCATATTAAAATTATATAAGTTCTTTTTTTTTATAAAGGATATAGGCATAGCATTAGCTAAAAATGTCAACAACAAAAAAAAAAAAGTCCTATTTTTAGTCCAAGAAAAAAAAAATCCTCATTTTTAGAATGCGACACTGTTTCTGGAAAAATTCAGTTTTGTACCCCGCGCTGCCTCAATTCCAACGATGTCATCTACGTGACATGAATATGACAACACCTGAACTAAAAATACTCACATCTTCCATCGCTAAAGGTGAAGCTGACACAGTAAATTTGGTCAGCGTCGCAGGTCTCCTCATTTCCCGGACAATTATATTGTCCTCCGCAGTGACACTTGAGGGCCTCGCCTTCGACAAAAGAAAACAAAAGGTTTTCAATCATTAGCACAAGTGCCCACGTTTGGGTGTGAACGAAGCGCGACGCACTCACCTTGGCTGACGATCACAAAGACGAGAAGAGCAACGAGGACGCACTTCATGTTGTTCAAGCAACAATCCCAGCGGATTGTTCTTCCTCACCGTGCCCTCCTTTATATGCAACCTTTCTCCCTTAAATTTGCCCAATGTGGCGTTTAAGCCGGGTGAATATTAACGCGTTCCCCGAAATGACTTTCTTACACAATAGTAAATAAACACGGCATCCGTTTTTGGATTCCGCTTTATCCTCACAAGGGTCGCGGGGCGTGCTGGAGCCTATCCCAGCTGTCTTGGGGCAGTAGGTGGGGGGGGGGGCACCCTGAACTGGTTGCGACACACCATTGACTCTGTCACAATAAATGTGCAGCAATTTCAAATCAACAAAGACCTGATCGTGATCGATGAGGGACTGGCTAAGATCGTTGCCTTGTCCAAAGCTCGGATTCATGGCAGAGTTGTGCTTTTATGGAAACATTCTTTGAAATGAATCTTGGCCTGCCTGTCTGTACCTCGGTTCACTAAAAGTTAGTGAACACCATTCTAATGGACTCCAATGAATGCCCAAACCCTTGAAAAAAAAAAAAAACAAGAAAAATAGCACACAAGGGAAGCCCATAGACAGCCAAACCAGGTTTTTATTATTCAAGCATCAACATAAGCGTTAACGGTTGCACAAGTTGGTGGTGCAGCAGCTAGCCGTGGAGATGCCGGGGCTGTTCATCAAAAGGCAGTTATGCAGCGTGCTGCAGCCTTTGAAGTAGCTGGGGTCTGTGGATGAAAAAGAAAAAAAATTGACACACAGCTCGATACCGGTGCAGGTAGAAGCCGAGCGGCCTTCCGCTTTCCAGACCGTTCGCGCTGGTCACCACCGGCTGGAGCCGTGACATTAAGTCGTCATCGTCGGGGGTTCACGTTACTTTTTAGAGAGAAGAATTCAGATTTTTGGAGGGGAAAAAAAAATAAGCGGACTATTACCAGAATTATTCGTATTAATTCAGGACCAAATGTGGATTTTTTTTTAATATTTTTTTTTTGAGCAGAATTAAGGTGCATTTCTTTTTCCAATGACTAAAATCAGAAGATGCAGAAAGTTAGTTACTGTTTGAAATATGAAAAGAAAATTGTATCTTTTAAATATAAAAAAAATGTGCAATGTGACAAAAAAGCTGAAATATCTCAAAAATGAAGTCATGAGAAAAGTTGGAAATATGAAAAGAAAGTTGTATCTTTTAAACATAAAAAAAATGTGCAATGTGACAAAAAAAGCTGAAATATCTCAAAAATGAAGTCATGAGTATTAGAGACGAAAATATATTCGTGACAAATATAGTCTTGAGAACAAATCAGAGAATAAAGTTGTATACTTAAAAAACATGTTCAGACGATTTTTTTAAAGATAGAGGCTAACATTATAAAAAAAAAAAAAAATGAAATACTTTTCTGAGAAATGTAAATAGTAAGAAAAAAAAAGTAGCAGTATTTCCAAGAAAAAGAGTCCTAATCTCCTGACCATCGTAGAATATTCTTTTGGGGAGAAAAAAAAAAAAAAGATCACACTTTTCTCCCCTGGTGTTGCCCGAATGTGAATACAATACAACATACGTAAGTGTGTTGTGGCCCAAAAAATTCACACGCATTATACGACCTACGTGAAGTGAATATGACAACACTGGAAGAAAATACTCACTGGTGCCAACTTCAAAGATGACGCTGGCACAGGCATCGCTGGAAGGCGTGCACTGTTCCACCGATCCGCTTGGACAGCGACGTTTTCCTCCACAGTAACACTGCAGGGCCTCACCTAGACCAAGGAGAAAAAAGAAAAAAGTTTGAAATGAGCACAACTAAACAGGCTTTCGTGTGAATAGCGCACACGGCGCTCACCCTGGCTGACGAGCACAAAGACGAGAAGAGCAACGAGGAGGCACTTCATGTTGTTCAAGCGACGATCCGACTGGAGTGATGTTCTTCTTCCTAGCGTGGTCTCCTTTTATAAGCAACTTTCTTGTTCAGGAAATAACTTTTTGACACAATAGTACAAAAACATGTACTCCGGGTCAACAAAAACAAACAAAAAAAAAAGTAAACAGACTTGATTGCAACACATGGTTGATGGCGACCCCCCCCTCCCCCCCCAAAAAAATATAATATGAAGCAATGTGGGAACGTTTCAAAGCTTTCCAAAGAACATCGGCTACTGTTTAACTTTTCCTGCGTTGACTATTTGGTATCAATCAGAACAAATCTCGTGGTCGAATTAGAATTGGCCCCAAGGAGAGGTATAGAGCCGACTTTCAGTACATATAGGAATGGGGGTGGGTGGGGGGGGGGTCATTTAATTTAGTTACCGACTTACAGTATCATCGGGATGTTCATTTGGTGTTACTTTTTTCTTTTTTGCTGCAATGATGTGATGTAATACAATCCATCGTCGGGGCAGTTGGACTTCGTTTCATGCAAGTGTATTTGCAATCCGCTCGGTCATCGACGCAGCGTTTGCTTTCGACACGCCACGCGTGGCTCAGCGAATGCAAAAAAGTCCATTTGGGAAAAACAATATGTTGACCATGCGAGGGCATAAAATGCAACGTTTCGGGGGAAGAAAATGTTTTGCTGTAAACTACAACAGCCGTCTCGTCATTCAAAGCACAATTAAAGCCCACCAAAAAAAAATTTGACATGCCTTCTTTGCATAGAAATGGTAAAAAGCGCAGAGGAGTGTGAGGCTAGATGGCCTTGTGGGGTTCCTCCAAGTCTTTTCATTGTTGGTGTTGGGGAAACACTGATTTAAAAAAACATTTTTTAATCCGTGAGGTCCAAAAACCACGACTGCTCGCTACTCTGCGTCTGTACGCCAACGCTGGACCTGGACGTGCTTTCGCTTTCTCTGCGGCTGCCCAGCAGGCACTCTTCACTGCTGTGGTTCAGATTGAGACCGGGGTGGTCCGATACAGGTGAGGACGGGATTGGTCGCGGGGATGTGCAAGCGGGGATCAAAGAGGGATGCGAGTCTTGAACGAAACATGCGACGTCCTCGTGTGAGGTTTGCAGCAGGCCGAGAAGGGGGTAAGAACCGCCCGGCGGGAGGTTGGCAAGGGGGTCGGCATCCGGGCGCAGCAGGTCCAAAGCGGGCTGGGATCGGCTGATGGCGGTCGGACCTGACGTCCACGTCGGCGGCGCGGCCAAGGTAGCGTTTGGGCACCGGGCGGTGGCCGGGTGGCTTCGGTGGCCCGGGTGAGCGGGCGCCCCCTGGTGGTGGAGGTACGAGTTCTGATGGGCGTTGAAGTGAGCCTGGAGGAGGTGGATGATGCTGCGCAGGCCGTTGGCCAGCTCCGAGACTTCTTGGTTTAACGAGCCCATCTGCGCGGAGGAGAAAAGTGAGCAAATCCGCTTTACAGCACTTTCAAATCCGCGGGGACGCCGCCGCCAAGTAGAAAAAGCCGCAGCGCTGGATTGTCGTCAGGTTTTGTTCGAAGGGGTGTTGAGTCAGCTCTCTCGAGAACCTCGCGGATTAATGAACGGTCGCTTTGCACCACTCCTTCCTGAGCCCATTTGGAGCTGCCGGCGTCTTTTGATTATTTTTTTTAATTACCTACATAACTATTTGCGATCCAGTATCGGGGGCAACAACACAGCTTTGCCCACAGCGAAAGACAATCTACGAACAAACCAGCCCTGGTAGGCCGCTTCTTACCTTTTGGTGGAGTTGACTGATACTCTGCCGGACTTCCTCAGTCTCCAGGAAGAGATGGCCGTTCACCCGCGTGGAATCTGCGGGAATACCGACAATTGGTGAGTGAGTTTGGAGCAAAATGAAAAGGTTTTGCTTCATATTGCAACATCATCATTCTCATCAAATCTGAAATTGAAGCAGAAGCGGCTAAACTGCAGCGGCACAAGGAGTCAGCCGAGCGAGCGCGGGGGCCCTGACCGGACGCCAGATGTCGTGCAGGCGGGCGATCGGCTTACCTTGGGCTCCCCCGCTTCCTCTTTTGGCTTGTGGCCCGGCGTGCTCCACGTTGAAATGGAACACGTGCCCGTTGTCCTCGATGCCGTCCACGACCCTTGAGCCAAAGTAACGAGAGAGCGCGTTCAACTCGGACTCCGGCCAGCAGATCACTCACCGTTTTCTTTTTCGGGGGACCCTAGCCTTTATTAGTCACCGAAAAACTCTGGCGGCACCCTTCTCAAATCAATTCTTTGTTGAGTTGAGGAGCTTCATTTCCACAAAAATAATCCTGATCAACGAGACAATTAAAAAGCAGGCTAAATGGGCGGCGTGAGCATACCTGGGACTGAGGTCGGGGGGGCCAAAGCAGGTGACGGTGGGGATGAGGAGCTTGGGAGGTTTGCGCTCCTCGCCCGACCGGAGGACGGAGGAGGCACGCTGCGGTTTGGCCGGAGTCTGAGGCGAGGAGGGGGCGGCGGCGTCGGGACCGAGGAAGCCGCGGCGGAGGTTGGGCGAGCGGCAGCGTCGCAGCGCGTTGAACTGGCGCAGCTCGTCGCCCAGCAGGTTCCCCAGGGAGGTGCGGCGCACGGGGCTGCTCAGGTTGGGCAGCAGCAGGTTACGGCGCGATCGCGTCGACGGCGACGGCTGGAAGCCGTCCGACGAATTCTCGTGCTTGATCGTTTCCGCCAAGGCACTCGGTCGCGCTTCCTAAGGCGCGCAAAAGAGGAGAGGCGGATTCAAATGGGCGACTTTTGAGACATTTTTACTCCAACCGGAGAATAAAGGCTCTGGCAAAAAAGAAAAGTCAACATTCAAATAAAATAAATGAAACAGCAATATGAAAAGAAGTATTTGACTTTCAAAGAAATCCCTCAAAAGACACACACACACACACACACACACGGGACTCACAAGTAGGATCCTGGGCGACCTTGGAAACCTGCCGAGTCCCTGCAGAGAGAAGAAAAAGGGGCGGGGCCCACAATTTACTCCATTTGCATTTTGATTTCCGTCAAAAAAGAAAAAAAAAGTTGAAACGAATCCAAGTTGAAGAAGCATTTGATCGAACACTAGGGGAGGGGCTTGGTGGGAAACGTTTAGTGGCAGCAGTGGTCATTTTTCCTCGAAAGTCTCCCTGGAGCAATGCAGACATGTTATGATGACGCACGGGATGTGAACGGAGCATCCTGCGTTATTGCCGCAAGTGACCCGCATTGGAAAAATGGCTTTGCAGGGACTTCAATGTCATTAAAAGTTGGATTTGCTAACATTTGGGAACACTGTTTCAGCCTTCAAGACAAGTAGGATGTGTTTTGTTTTCTGATAATACTGGAAAATTATCTTCTCGCCCAAAACTAACTGCAATTCATGTGGAGTTGATGGATGGACATGGTAGTTCTGTTGAATTGGCTTTCGGACCCTCAAAGTGGTCTCAGCGCCCCACATTTTGAAAACCTCTTCGTGAGACATCAAGGCAACTTCCTATTTTTTCCCTCCGAGCTGACATCAAAGTGCGGCGGTCTCGGTGACGAGTCGTCGTCCCGCGCGGAGGCGCGGTCATGAAACAACGCCGCCGCCGCCGCCACCGCGCCATTCGGACGGCCGGCCCCACGCCGCCCGCCCACCAACTCATCTCCCTCCAGCAAGTTATTATGAAACACCAGCTTGAAGCCAGGATTGAAGGGTTTTCCCTGACTCGGATAAATCCTAAAAATAGCCTTCAGTCCATCTGGCAGATTGGACTGCGATCCTACGGTCTGTTCCCTTGACAACGTTTCATCAGCCTTTTTGGACGAAGGGCTGCAGGATGTAGACGGCGTCCCGGCGCGGCGTCTCCCGCTCTTCCACGCCGTGATGGCGGAAAAGCGTCCGGCTGCGTCATTTTGGTCGCCCTCAAACTCTGAACAGGTGGCGTCAGACAAGTTGGATGACTTATGAAGGCACGATGCAAAAATAGGCCAATGACTTTTTTTTTTTTTTTTTTTTTTCTGCCATGATCCAGTATGTGCAGTAATTGGGCGCTACCTGGTCCTGGCTGCCCTCTCGCAGGTTGTAGGTGATGTTGTTGTGGATGTCGGAGGCGAAGACGCTGGCGTACTCGGGGTAAAGGTGAAGTACCTCCCTCAGCCCGCGCACGCTGACGTACTGAAGGTCGCAGTAGGTGAGCGCCTTCACGTCCGCGTTGGTCTTGATCACCTGCTCGCTCTCCGGCAAGTCGCATCCGATCAGGTCGCCTTTTCCTGCCCCCAAAAAAATAAATAAACAAAATACAACAGGAAGGCAAGATATTAGGCTACATTCAATGTCAGGATGTGCTACAATGGCTTCGTTTTATCCGGTTTCAAGCAGTCAATCTCAACGGCAGTCCATTTCAAAGTTTGGGCATTTCCTTTTCATGTGAGGATACTCACGACGGCCTCCTGGCTGCGGGGAATTTCGGTCAGATGATCCGGAATGTTCCATCTACTGTGTGTCAGTCAGGCTACGGCATCACTTCATTAATTCATCAATGTGCAACACAAATTGGCCGAACGGACGCGGCGGGATCTATTTGATCTTTGTAGCTTAGGTTACCCAGAGGAACTCAACAAGTGCGGGTTATACGATCCCGACGACGACGCTTTTGGCCCACCATCGCCATAAATAATAAGCGGGAGCCCGGGGGGGGGGGGGGGGGGGGGGGCTTTCACTCGCCTCCGATTGACTACCGCTGACCTGAACTGAAAGCGTTTCGAAAAACAGAGTTCTAACCCTTGAAGAAATGGATCTCACAACCCAAATAGACAATGTAGTCATACTACCAGAAGCCCTGCAAAGAACGACGACGATTACTGCAACTTTCGGAGGACTTTTGGCTGGTTTCCTGTCTCTCCGGATCTTTGGTGATGCCAACAAATAGCATGTTTAGTGTGGTGTTTGGATCCTTTGACCAAAAGTTATGTGAGCACAAAAGGTGTGGCAGCACATGTAGACATGCAATCTAACACGACAAATATAATACAACGGCTTGGATTTCTTGAGGCAGATGCCGATTCGGATATGGGGCAGAATAAAATGATCAAAAAAGATTATTTAGCGGAGTCATTCAAAAAAAAAAAAACAACTACTTTTGTCTGCACAAGAATGAAGGTATGAATTTACAGGCAGCAGTGGGCGGCAGCGGCGTGTACGAACCGAGTATGGCCAGCACCACACCGTCCTTCAGGACCTCGAGGGATCCGGAGCAGACAAAGTAGTTGGCGTGCAGCGCGTCGCCCTGGCGGATGAGGTACTCGCCGGGCACGCAGAAGGACGTCTTGATGTGCAGCGAGAGCGAGCGCAGGCACCCGCGACTGGCGCCCTTGAAGACGGCCAGCTGCAGGATGTCTTTGTTCAGGTGCGTGGCGATGTCGGCGCGCAGCTCGTCGGGGAAGTCGTGCAGCAGCTGCAACGTGACAAGTGTAAAAAGAAGTTAGCGGAGTTCCAAGAGCAAGTCGGCCGCACGGGCGGCAAACCTCGTTCGCGTCGATGCCGTTGTTGACAGACCAGGTGGTCTGAAAGTACTCGAGCATTCGCTGCTTGAGCTGCTGGGGCAGCGTGTGCACGCGAATGAAGTCCTTCAGGTCCTTCATGCGCGTGTGGTAGAGCGAGCGGCGCGAGTACATGCGCTGGATGATGGCCGTCACGTTCCCGAACACCAGGGCGTGCATCAGCGCTGCGGGGAGGATTCACCGTCAGTCCGCGGAGGGGGGGCGGGCGGGTTTCCGATGCCGAGAGGCGTACGTACCGCCCACCAACATGGTGCAGATGGAGAAGATCTTCTCGGCGTCGGTGTTGGCGCAGACGTTGCCGAAGCCCACACTGGTCAGGCTGCTGAGGGTGAAGTAGAGGGCGGCGATGTAGGCGCTGCGCACCGACGGCCCGCCTGTCGTGCTGTTGGCGTACGGCGTTTCCAGACGCTTGCCCAGCTCGTGTAGCCACCCTGCGGCGCATCCAAAAACTCAGGTCAGTGAATTTTTAAAAAAATGACTCTTATATTTTTTAGTTCAACAGCCCCAAAAATATCTTCAATTTGAAATTATTCAAGGACATTTGAGCACACGGACCGATTTCCCAGGTGTGGCTGGTGTCGAGCTCCTTGCGTCCGATCATGTACCAGATGCAGGCCATCCAGTGGGCCAGGAGGGCAAAGACGGACATGAGCAGCGTCAGCACCATGGCGCTGTACTGCGAGTAGCGGTCCAGCTTCTGCAGTAGCCGCAGCAGCCGCAGCAGACGCACCGTCTTCAGGAGATGCACCAGTGAAGTCTGCGACCAAAGATAAAAAAAAGAAAGAAAGAAGAGCTTTGGCTCTCCTTGCCCACATAGAAGAGCATGACGGGACCTTGGTTTGGCATCCTTACCACGGTGATGTTGAAAGCGTAGAGGAGGTCAAATGGCAGAGCGGCCACCAGGTCCACAAAGAACCAGGTGGTGGCGTAGTGGATGCAAATGGAACGCGATTGGTACACCACCTGACCCGACTGGCTCACAAAGGTCGTGCGGAAGTTCAGGATGATGTCTGCCACAAAAAAAAAAAAAGTTCTCACTTGATGACTATGATATCATTTCCGCATTTAATCCGAGTTTGACGAAGGAGCACGACGCCATCATACCTGTGATGAAGAGCATCTCGACGGCGATGTCGCTGACGATGGTGGAGCGCGCGGCGGCGGCGTTGTCGTGGTAGGGCGTGAAGCTGACGTTGTACGGCACCGTGACGGCCACGTAGAAGGTGGCCAGCAGGATCAGCCAGTCCCACAGCGCCTTGGACACGCTGTAGTGCAGCAGCAGGAAGCGAGAGCGCTGCACCGCCGCCACCTTGTACTCTGGCACCGAAAGCCGATCCATCATGTTCTGACGAGCGCAGACACACAAAAGGCAACCGTTTGGCAAAGCGCTCGCTAAAACTGGCCCGGCCAAAATTTTGGACAAAGTCAGGAAGCGAGTAGCACTTTGAATGTGGTCCATTTTAGTTTGAAGAATTTAAATGCTAATGCCATTTTTTTTTTTTATTGATATAAGGCATGAATCGCTTGGCAACATGCAATTTGGTAGATGTGTCTATCATGGATAGACCCACAAAAAAAAAAAAAAAAAAGTCTTTTGGTTTGAAGCAGAAGGCTTCGAACCGTCATCAACAGCTGCTGACTGACACTCGAATGAGCGTCCGGGCCGTGTCGAGAAAAGCTGCTGCCATTTTTTTCCCCATCCCTCCCCTTTGACACTATTCTTTTTAATTTGCCTTTCATCCCAGATGTCGCGCCGCGAGGCCGGTGATTGGGAAAAGGCCGGGTGCGGCCTGGTGAGGACACAGTACTTCATTAAGTCAGGAGGGAATAAAAATTCTCAGCAGGCTTTGGGGGAGAAAGTGGAGAGCTAATTCTCTGGCGTTCACACACTTGCATGGGATATTTTTTAATTGAAAATGGAGCGACGTGCAAGTATATACATAGATACTTAAAGACATACAGAGTAATGGCATCATGAAATAGAATGTGTCACATTATTTTACTCCACTTCAAGAGGACATTGTGCTGCTCCTTCTGATGTTTGCTGGGGGCATTAGAGTCCAAACGGACGGCTATACATGGAACCCTTCAAAACTCCTCAGGAAGATTGGTTATTCTTTCCAGAGGATAAAAAATATATGCATGTCAGTCTTGTTATATTATCAGTCTACATGTGTTGCCCCACTGTTTGTGTTGAAATGTCCGCAGGGTAAACACCAAACGCTTGCCTGCTGAGTCTATTTCATCACTGTTGCTCAAAAAAACGGCAGCGTTTGCCATCCATCCCGTCACCTAACTGACCCCTAAATATTTTGGAATATGATGTGCTGAGGTATTATGCAACCATAGAAGCTGAAACCTTATATTTTCATGGCTATTAAAAGAGTGTGTGTGTGTGTGTGTGTGTGTGTGTGTGTGTGTGTGTGTGTGTGTGTGTGTGTGTGTGTGAGAGCGCGTGAGCAAGCCCTGTTTCTGTTTTTTCTCCAAAGAGGTGTAGAAGCAGACCTACGCGTATATGTGCACTGAAAGAAGGATGGAGGAGGGAAGGAAAATAGAACATGGGAGGGGGTGGGGGGCCGAATAAATGGAGCGCGGCGTCGTGGGAGGACGGTGGCATTCGCCAAGGTGTCTGACAAACACAACCCACAGACACGACTCCATTCAAAAAGTCTTTGGCCGTATCCTTATTTGGTGGGCAAATTCGAAGACAAAAAAAAAAAAATATGCATGATGTTATGTTGAGGGGGTTGTATTGCACAAACAACCTCCCAAAAATTTGATATAATGTAGGTAATATTTTAAACACATGTATACACTTATGTGTATTCATTTCAAATTTCTTCAGACACGTTCGTATTTTATCTTCATTTCCCAAATGTGCAGAACGTGTTTGTGCGGCGGCGGCGGCGTACTGACCCCGCCCAGGTTGACGTCGCCTTTGGGCCGGCGGGAGAAGCGGCTGGTCAGCTGGTACAAGACGGCGCGCCCTCGCTTGCGGGCCTCGCTCAGGCGGGAGCCGCCCTTCCTCCGCCGACGCTTGTCCTCCTCCAAAACTGGGGCGACAAAACACACCGCGGTGCGAAACATGCTCGTACAGCGAGAAAGTCCAAAAAGCGCCGATGCGGATTTGCCACCCCCCTGCGATTTCAAAGATGCCAACGCGAGAGGCGGCAAGTCGTCGCTGGCCTCAGAAAAACGTGCGTCTACCTTCCCTGGTGCTGTTGTGCTGACATTTGCCGTGGCTGTCGGTGATGTCCTTGAATGAGAAGAGGAAGAGGACCATCTCGCCCTTCTCGTTCTTGATGGGCACGATGTCCAGCAGGCACCAGAAGGACACGCCTGACACAAAAAAAAGTCGAGATTCTTGAATTTAAAATGGAAATATTCCTATATGGACATTGGGATTGACGGTATGCTTTTGAAGGAGTTAAAGGATTTTTTTTTTTCCCGAGCTGCGCGCCTTGGCACCGCGTACCGTCCTTCCTGTAGAAGTGCACCTGGGCTTGGTACTCGTGGCGTCCCTCCAGGGCCTTCTCCATCTGCTGGGCCACGCGCTCGCTGGTGTCGGCGCCGTGCAGGAAACGGCAGCTGCAGTTCTTCTGCATGACCTCGGTGCGCGTGAAGCCCGTCAGCTCACAGAAGCCGTCCGAGCAGTACACGATGGGGTAGCCGCGCTGGCCCTGCGCGTTGCCCAGCAGGAAGTTGCTGTCTGATGCACGACAGGTGGGGTGGGGGGGGGACAAAGGAAAAGCAAAGCACACTCCGGTTAATTCTTCTTGTCAGCAAAAAAAAAAAAATTGAGATACAATTAAAGAGTTGATTTATGACAAGATGCCATATTTTATTTGGAAAAAAATCTCAAATTTGAAAACATTCTGAATGTTCAAAAAGTGAATTCTAGACGACACGCCATGACTCTATTTTTCTCAATTTGAAGTGAAAGTCCGAATGTTGTGTGGCTATCATCAAAAACAAAAAATAATGTCTCTTAAAACTTAAAATTTATGAAAATGCAACTATTTTTTTCATTTAAAATTTGATGTGACTAAAATCGAATTTGACACACGAATAATCTTTTTTCGCTGGTCACACAAACTTGTTTTATTTTTATTTTTTTCTTTATAATTGTATTCATTTTTCTTTGTATTTCTTTTTCGGGGAGAGCTGTAACGGATTAATGGCATTACTATTCATTTCAATGGAGAAACATGCTTTGCAGTACGTCCATTTCTAGTTACGTGTGGTCACGGAACCCACTCAAGGTAGCTCTGTGTACTAAACCTACTAAAAAGACGACCGCTAATGCTCGGTAGATCTAAACAGTGACCCCAAACTTTCTCAAAGCCAACAGTTTTAAATGTGTCTTTTGGCCTTTGACATTTTTCACTGCGGCTTGGTTTTGCTATAAATCCTAACAAATGTAAAAAGAAAAAAAAAAACTATTCTTCGGTGATCATTATATAAAGCATCTCACTGGGCCAACGGGCTGGAATTCATTTTTGGAAACTTTCATGACGTGTTTTTGCCTAGCCTATTTTTTTGTTTTTTTAATTCTTATTTTATTGACGATATGTGTACCGCGTTTCCCCAGTGTGAGTCAGCCTCCCGACAGTCTGATGGCCTCGCCTCACTCTGGGCCCCTTTGTTATTGTTCCTGGTTATGAAAAGGACACTTGACGCGGTGTCCAGCGGAGATTTGGGAGTGCGCCTGGTCCCGCGACGCTCAGCCGTGATGCAGAGACGTCTAATTGGAGCAAATCTGCGGGGTGCCGTGAGGACTTTATTGCACCGCACTTGACAAAAGCTGGGCCGCTGCCAGCTGCTTTTTGATGGGCTCGGTGCTGCGCGTCAAGAAGCAATTGTTTGGAAAAACAAATATGATCCTGAATAATAAATTTGTGTTCTTGCGCGGCCCGGTGTTGAAAACGTCTGCGCGCGTCTGTATGTGTCAGTGTGACTTGTCTCCTCACCGCCGCTTGCTCGTCTTGATTCTTGATGCAAAACGGAGCAGAGACACTGGCGCCAACTTAAGCGTCGATCTATCGTCTAATTGCTTTTCAGAGTAAGTTTTGGGCCTTTTTTTTTTTCCTGTGTGTGTGTGTGTGTGTCAAGCTCCAATCGATAGTAACGAGAATTGAATGCCTTCGGCGAAAGAAAATTAATTAAAATTTAAATGGTGTTTGTTTTTTTTAATGAGAGCACTAAAACAGAAAAGTTAATGAAGCAGCCTACTTGGATCAACGTGAACCATCTCGTGGCTGTGTAAAAATATGCAAAGAAGTGTGTGTTCGTGTGTGTGTGTACCGGGAGCTAAGAGTGACACGTCTGAGCCGCTGTTTTGACATTTGCTGCCGCCGAGTCAGCACTTCATCCATTTTTGTGGGGGGGGGGGGGGTCGTATCTGACATATTTTCCACCAAACGATAACCGCTGTGGTTTGCCTTATACAGCTCAACGTATCATTTTTCAAAATTCATTATTTCCTGTCATTGTTTGCTTGATGAATAAGTTTAATGCTACGCCTCAAATAGACAACCAACGCTTGGGATAAATAAATAAGAAGTGGGGGCCACCATAACACAGACATGGCATCTGTAAAGCTGCGGTGAAGCGTGGACTTTAATTTCCACTTGAGATGCTTCAATGAATCATTTCTCTTCCGAGCCATTTCTTTTTGTTTCGTCACTGTTGGGAAAGGGGCGCGGATCTCTGCTATCTGTGACCAACCGGATGACCCACAATGCCAACTGTTTCCCACACGAGAGGTGGCGACCTGTCGCCCGGGCAACAGGTCGGGAGCTATTTTGAACGGCGGCCATTTTGGCCCGGGGACGAGTATGGAGCAGCGGGCATTTTGGCCTTTGCACCGCGCTGCAGCCAGCCAGCTGCGACCGTCATTCTCATACATTTTGTCTTGAACGCGTGAGAGTCATGGCAAGGTTGGCAAATGACATTTGGGTTTTCCTTGGGGGCAGTTATGATGGAGCCCTGCGAAGTCTGCCTAGCAACAAGTGCCTGCAAACGTACGAGTGCATCGGAGAAAATTTGCCCGTGGGCTAAAATGACTCAAAACAGTGACGTAAACAACCAGAAATGCTCATGGAATAGGACAATATGGAAAAATTGCATCATATTTCACCACGAATTTAGCATGGGCCTCCGAGGGTTTGCGGCGACAGAGGCTGGGAGGGGAGCTGAAACAAGACACACGCACGCACGCACATCCCCACGGCCGCGGCCTACAAAGAGACACGCGCTCCCTCGAGGAGGCCGCGGCTAGAAAACAACAGAGTTGCGAAGCAGCGGCTTAACGTGATCACCAGCGTGGCCGCTTGGGCGCTAAACGTTGGAGGTCAGACGAAATAAGAGAGTACAAAAAGCGCATCATTTCGCAGTCATCGAGCACGCATTGAAACTTGAGAATAGCGCACACCCTAAAATAATAACTAAACAAAATAGCTGTCATTAAAAAAAGTGGTCGGACATAAAACCAAACAACTATTTTTCGGTATGAATGGCAACAGGCGGATACACAAGTTGATTGTAACTTCCGCCATCTAGTGGAAGAGCATTTGATTGTTCTGCCTGTCACGATACGCCGCTGGCAAAGATAGACGAACCAAGATATTGAAGCCATACAGGAAGTAGCGAGCGCTTACGGGTGCCGTCGAAGCGAGTGGCGATGTTGTCCAGGAAGGTGTTCTGGGGGGCCAGGAGCCCCTTCATCACCGGCATGTTGAGCCCCGCTTCGGGGTGCGGCGTCCAAGTGGGGTCACATCATTCCAGAGGCGCGGTGAGGGGGGGCTCCATGCGGGCGGCGACTCCAATGGTCCACCATTTTATCAGGAAAAAGGGTACCGAAAAGAGCCCCCATCCGAACAAGGAAGTTCCGTGGCAATCCCTCATCGCATCTTTGCGCTCTCCTCCTTGAGCTCCTGCATCCCGCTCCCTGTGAGGCGGCGACCAATCAGACGCTGGCTTCCTCTGAGAGCGAGCAGAACACACAGAGAAGGGGGGAGAGAGCGAGCGAGAGCGAGAGAGGGAGAGTTGAGGAGCTGACAGAAGCCATGGAAGCCGCTATCAGCACATGGCTTTTGTATTCAGCGGGTAGATGGATGCTTTCTATTGTGTTCTTCCCTCACGGGAATCTCAGTGAACCTTTTTTTATACTGGTCATTTTCCATCGTGTGTTCCGGATCAATATTGACACGGGCCAAGGGGAACTTGATTCTCAAAAGGAGAAAGATGAATTCAAGAGCATCTACCTGAGGCACAATCAGCAAAATAGAGCTGAAAGTCCATAAAAAAAATTTGGGGCGCAACTCGCCATCTCTGATTGGTCACTCCTTGGATGGGCAGATGTTTCGTTGTGTCATAGAGCTGACCATATTTGGTCAACTGTGTCTCAACGTCATTTTTTTTTTTTTTGATGGTGTCACTATCGGATAATTTTAGTGTGGATTATTCCATCGCATAATCAAATACAATTTGAAAAAAACATTTTTTTTTCTCGTTTGCTTTTTTATGAAGCAATAATTTTCCATATCGTTTGCCACAACAACTTGACAACTTTTAGAAAAAAACTTTCACGGTGAAAGAAAGACATTTATGGTCATTTTATTGCGTAAAAACCAAATGTGTCTCCTTCCACAGCTGCTCCGCCAGTATTTTTTTTTCCTCTCAAATCAGAGCCGTTTAAAATTCGAGCTTGTGTCATACCCCATCCCACCACGGACCCGCAGCCCCCCTTTACAGCATCCTCGTGACAGAATTAAGGCTCCGCGGGCAGAAAAGCCGCTGAGAGCGGATTACGCCGATAAGCCGGGAGATGTTTTTCATGACGACTTGATTCTTAACACCCCAAGTAACACGTCCGACAAGTCAACAAACAACTGGCAGCCGACGACAGGTGGAAGCGTGCCCACAGGTAGCCGTGATCCGAAAAAGAAAGACAAAATACTAATACTACAAAAGTTTGAAATCCTACAGGAAAAAAAAAAAACACAAAAATACCTCCCCAAAATCCAGCTGTTCAATTTTGACAAAAAAATTGAACACATTTTTTGTCAATTTTTTTTGAAAATTGACAAAAAAAACAATACATATAGAAGACTATTGTCAGGAACATAAGGCATCAACACGATGTATCTAGCTTGCACACCATCATGACCCCACGTTATGAAAAAATGACTACAACTGCAGCGTACTGAGGACTTGTGAGCGTCATCACGTCTCTCAGTATATCTGCGTTTTACTGCCCCCAAGTGGCCAAGAAAGGAGCAGCGCAATTTCCAATGAATCTGAAGATGGCTGAAGTCGATACATTTGATTGAATCGTGTCATTACGCTCTGAAACCGCGATGCCCCTTTTTAAATGTAGGCAGTAAAACAAAAAAAAAGCACTTCATTACAGTCAAAGTATTTGTACTTGGTTACTTGCCACCTCCGTTATGGAGGATGAGCCGCTTTCCCTCATTGAAGGGTTCCGCATGGCCTTTGACAACTCTGGCGCGTCCGCCATTCTCCACTATCGGCGCCTTTTGCACTCAATTGACAGCAGGCAGATGTGCGCGCGCTTAAATCCTTCAAGCACGAGAGGCGAGGAGAGAAGCCCGACAAACACTCGCTTCCTCGCTGACAGCCTCCAGCAGGAAGCAAATCTGAGCGGGGAGAGAGAGCGAGAGAGAGAGACGAATGCACGAGAAAAAAAAAGGGAGTCATTCATGAGAATTGGAAGTAGAGGCAAAAAAAGTTGGCAGGAGAACGAGCGCGAGGCGCGACAATGTCAAATGCGGACAGAAAATAGGGCGACGCTGCTAAAAATATGAAGCCACTTGCCAACTGGGAGACCTGCAAGCTGTGACCGTTAGCGCGTGGTGGGTGGGCAACCCATTTACACACATTCATACATACGTATGTATATATGGACAGAACAGATTTTTGTGCAAGTGGCAAAGTGTGATTGTTTTTGTTGCATGCGGTTGGCTTGCTTCGTTTGCACTGATACCAACTGAATAAATGCACACGCACCTTTTTTTTCTCAACTGTTTATTTCCTCACGTAGGCACTGCATACGATAAACTCGATACGATACAAAGCAGATAAAAAGGACAAAGTCTAATGACTGTTGGGCGGGTCGTTGCTGCCACCTAGCGGTGACTATTGCGCGCAGAAAAATCAGTCACAAAGGATCGTGGATAAGCGAGTTTGTCATCGAAAAGACAACAAACAAAACTAGTTAGCAGAGAATGCAAAGAGAATTACATTGTGTTGAGATCGGTTTTGTACAGTCTGATTCAAAAAATCAATTCTAACATACTTCGGATTAAGTCGATTGGATAGGTGATGCAGTCTGAGAAGCGCCTTGGAGGTGCGAGTGGAATTATTCGCAGAGGATTTGTATCCCTTGTCCGAAAGTAAGGAAACATTTTCATGTTCTCAGACATGTGAGGCCAAGCGGCGGGATTCGATTTTCCTAATGGGGTGTTTGTCAGCGATTCGGAGAATGAAATGAGTCTTTCGTTCGTGTCCACGTGAACTCGGATCCTCTGCAGTTTCACAGGCGGGTGCCAGGAACCGAGCGGGCCGTCAAACTGTTTGTATTCGCCGTGACAAAAGCCGATGCTCCTCGTTTGCATGGCGTCTGGGGAGCAAGGGTCCCCCCACGCCACGCCGACTTCCCAGTCAGCGTTGTCGCCCACCTCCACATCCCACGTGTGCGTTCCCGTGGCCAAAGCGGAACCGAGCACATTGCTGCGCTTGAACCTCTCGGGGTTGCTTGGACGCGGCTGTCCTTTTCCAAAACTCACGCTGGTCAGATCTCCAGACAGGCTGAGTTCTGGGCGAGCCGTGTTTGGGTCCAGAATGACGGGACTGTAGGACACCTTCTCCTTCATTCCTTCCCACACTCTGAACTTGAGGTTGCCCACGTGCTTGGCTTCATCCAGCAGAGCGCCTCGTAGGAGTTGCTCGGGCCTGTCGGGCAGCTTCTGGATTCGGGTCATCACCGTCTTGAAGTTCTTCAGGAAGAAAACGGGGTCCGACTTCAGCAGTGCCTCTGCGCTCCTGATCGTGTCGGAGAGAGCGGCCCTCTCTTTGTCGAGTGCCTTTAACTTCTCCTTTACCGCCCGAGTCTTCTTCTGCTCTTCCTCCTTCACGGCAGACAACCTGGCCTTCTCCTCGACTTGAAGGAAGTGACCAAACTCCGCCAAATCCTTCTTAATCTTGCCTTCCACCTGCTCCCCCTGGACCTCGATGTACGCCTCGTATTCGGCGCAGTTGTCCCGCATCTCGTCGTAATCGTGCAGTCTTTCCTTCGCATCCTGGACGGCTTTGTGAAGTTTCTCTCTGTCTTCTTTCACGGTTTGACTGAGGGAACAGAACTTGTGCCCGGTGTGGAGTTCTGTGTCTGTGCAGACGATGCACACCAGCTCCTGGTGCTCCAAACAGAAGAGTTGGAGTTTCTTCTGGTGCAAGCTGCACAAGTCCTCCGACTCCCCCGAGGGTTGCGGAAGGGTCTCACACACGTTCCTCGAGGCCGAGTTTGAAGGTGGATCCTCCAATGTCCCCTCCACGCCGCAGACTGGACTCACTTGATGACGAAGCGGGTTGACTTGGTCGAGCGCAGCTCCTGCGGGGAGCCGCACGGGCTCGTTGTGGACCTCCTGCATTCTGGTCATTGTGGTCTCGACGTTCTTCATGAAGGAAATCAGGGTGGATGTCAGGTGCTCGTTTGTGTTGATTATCGTGGCTGAGAGATTGGTCTGTTCCTTGCAGAGATTCTCAATCGTCTCCATCATCCGACTCTCCTTCTGCTTTTCCTCCTTGAGAGCAGACGACTTGGCCTTCACCTTGACTTGCAGGACGCAACGGGGCGCCTGGAAGTCATTCTCAGGCTTGCTTTCAACCCGCTTCCTCTGGGCCTCGATGTGGATCACTTGTTTCATGCCATCGCTTCTACTGTCATCTAAAAACAGACCTATCAAAGGCAGTCTTCGGTATTTCCGTTTTACCGAAGGGAGAGTTTTCACAGCGTCGTTTCGGAAAAGGAAATTGTGGCCGGCGTGGATTTTCTCATCCCTGCAGACAAAGCACACCAGCTTCTGGTGGTCCAAGCAGAATAATTTGTGATTCTCCTTTTGCAAGGTGCAGATGTCATTCGACTCCCCCGAGGCTGCCGAGAGGGTCTCGCACAGGTTCCTCAGGGCGAGGTTTGTCGGTGGATCCGACAAGTGACACCACTTCAGACAGACCGGACAGTTTTGATCTCCTTTCAGCTTCCACCACTGTTGCACACACGCGCGGCAGACGCTGTGACTGCACGGCAGAATGACAGGATCGTCAAAGACGCCCAAACAGACCGGACATCGGAGATCGTCCGTAACGCAGCTGCTCATGGTCCTTCTGAATACACCGACTCAAGTGCGCAAGCTTCCAACGGTCGCCCTCAGAAGAGTCGCGGCGCAGCGTCTGCCTCAGTGCAGCGATCGTTTTGTTTGCACTTCCTGGAGCCGTCCGTTTTTTGGTTTCAGTCTTCAATCTGTGACCCTTGGACCGGTGGCGTGTTAATGATTTGCCAAGTGAAACCTCAAACGAGAAAACAAGGGAGTGTCAGGTTCCGGATTTCAACTCATACTTCATCATCTTAAGTGCACAACTGTACAGCGCGAAGATGGACTCATCTCAGAAGGTTCAAAGCTGACAAACGTCTGGATGAGACCGTCTTCATTCTGAAATGTTTAATGTGCTTTTATGGCACTTTGGTGTGCTAAAAGTGAACTTCCTGCTTGCGCAAGCAGCTAGTTTTGTGACCAGACTCAAAATGAAACTAAAAGTGTTGAAAGAGTTTTTGGAGAAACGATGTAATATTTTTTAAAGTTGTAAATGTATTTATCTACCGAAAGCCACCTTTTGTTTGTGAAACTTTTTTTGTTTGTTTGCTTGTTTTTTTTTTTCCCCCTGGCATTTTATGATGACTGCGTGACATGTTCATCAAGTCCTCAAATATAATTCAGCCTTCGTTGTGTACCTCGCACACCTGGCGCATTTAAATCAAGGAAAAAAAGCACATAAAACTCAGCCTTTTACAACCAAAAACTTACATGTAGATTTTTTTGGGTGCTAGTTTTTTTTTTTTTTGTGAACACTAATTTTACCAACTATTAATTCAAACGGAAAGAAAAGCACAAATTAGAATGCAGTAAGAGTCGATGATTTCAAAAGTAACACAGACAACACACCTTTTATTCAAGTAATATGAAACCTGGAAGAGACTTGGCGGCTTGTCTGATTGTAAAGATTCCAAAATAACTCGGCGACCGCATTAAACTCAACTTTGGGAAGAATTTCATTGGATTGGACAAACTTATTGTGTGTGCGTGTGCGCGTGCATGCATGCCGTTTACATTTTTCTCAATTACAATAGTCATTATTAAATGATTTTTTGTTGTTAATACTTCAAACCAGCTGAGGGCAGTGTTGTTGACTTTTCGGGGGGCCACCGGGGGTGCCTTTCTGCCTTCATAATAAGCATATTGCTTTCGTTAAAGTGCGAGTTGTTGGTGTGATGACATTTGAGTTTGCGGTGAGGATCGAAGCATGTGGCACGCCAGCTTGAAGCCACGCGATCTTGACAGTCTGTCACAATTTGAGTACGTGTCCAACAACCCTGTTTCTTATGTTGCAGAGCATCGAAAAGCTTCTTTGTGGACTCCTCATAACACTTCCTCAGGGTCCCCATTGCCACGGTAACGCGCCACCAGCCCCCCCGCCCCAACTGAAATGTTTAATGTGCTTTTATGGCACTTTGGTGTGCTAAAAGTGAACTTCCTGCTTGCGCAAGCAGCTAGTTTTGTGACCAGACTCAAAATGAAACTAAAAGTGTTGAAAGAGTTTTTGGAGAAACGAAAGCGCTGCAACAGTGATGTTATTTATAAATCAAAGTGGAAGCTTTTGTTCAATTGTTAAGCTTTTGCGTCAACTTTCTTGATGAATGATATGCCAAAACCAAAGTGCAAGATGAAACGAGATCACGGCTCGTGGAGGGAGAGTCGGCGCAAAAAGACGGTGTGCGAAACACCTGAAGCCATTATTTAGCTCTGTGCATTATCAGCTTGACGACATGTTACGAACAGACATACTTTGACGATGGTGCGACCTCGCTGTGAATTGCCTGAGCGACGAGACGATTTTTGACAACTTTGCAGATGAATGCCACACAACGCTGTGCATACATCCTCTTTACTGACTTCCGGTTTCACACCCAAACTCTTATTCGAACCTGCTCGAGAGCCAAAGTGCCGCGACAGTTATATTATTCGTAAACGAAAGCACTGCAACAGTCATCCGGAAAACAAAAGTGAAGTATCGCTTGAAAGCTACGCCCTGTTTCGAGTACTCTATATGTGACTTTCACTCGGCAAAACGAAAATTAAGTAACAATACAAAAAGCAATGTGGGCCCAGAACAAATCAGGGAACTAATTGAACACCCCACACAGTAGAAAAAGAAAAACAAAGTGAAAAACTGTCATAAAATTATAAATGAATACGGACCATCGACGACGTGCGACTTACCACGCGAATTTCTCGCCAGCTCTGCCTGAGCAACGGCCGGAAATGGGCGTAGTACCATTCTTGACGTCGAGCCATCCATTCGAAAACTACGAACCTCTCAATTTACAATTTCATGCAAAGCGATTTATCTCTGGGCAATAAAATGTGTTGAACATTCTTAACCCAAATTATTTTGTTATAGATTTTTCCCAATTAGATTTTCCATTCATTGTCTCATTTGAAAGCTGAGGTGGCGCGTGAATAAGGGGTAGGAGGACCTCAACATGAGTTATTAAATTTAAGTAAATGTAATCTCGAGAAGCAAAGTGTGAATGGCCATTGAAATCAGTCAACTTTTTTTGTGTGAAACTTTGCCATCTAGTGGGCAAAAAGCGCAATTGCGTTTTTTCGCTTCAGCATTGTGTGTCACGAGTGACTTCTTACCGAAGCATATTTAAACATACAGCATTGAAAAAAAAAGAAGTTTGACCATCGCTAGTCAATGAGGCGGCCGATGCTTTTGCTGCAACTATAGTCAATGATAAACGCTACGTCGGCTGCCACAACTGCAAACAAGCCAATCCACTCATCATGTCGCGTGTCCAAGCCTGCTCGCTCCTTTTTGGCCCCCTGCTGGAAGCTGGCGGTGTTGCACAGCTCCCGGTGGCCACATGCCGCCATGTTTCCTTTGGCCAACGTTTTTTTTTTAATAATCTTTAACCTTTGGCCAACGTTGGCGCTCCACCCAAACGGCGTAGGACGTCATTGGCGTGACGTCAGGGCGCGCCCTCCATGCCGCTGTCGCCACAACTTTATCGATCTATATAGATATGTAGATAGACATACAGATCGATAAAGTTGTGGCGACGCAGCGGCGCAGGACGTCATTGGCGTGACGTCAGGGCGCGCCCTCCATGCCGCTGTCGCCACAACTTTATCGATCTTTATATCTATATCTACATAGATACATGTATGATTTTGAAGATACAGGATAATTCAAACACATACTGAAAGAAAATAAATGTTGAAAAAATTGAACAGTAAAAAGAATAAATACTGCACTTCACGGTACTTAGGATTTATTGGATTTTGGCAAACCACAACGAGACACTATGATAAGAGTCCTTGAAATGTTGTTGGGCAATCTTAATTGTAATTTGCTTGTTTGTTTCTTGATGTGAATCGATGTGAAGTACCCATTCGAGTGGGTAATAAGACTTAATACAAAATGACTGTTGACAAATGTGGGCACAAAACATCTCCAACATCAACACAGATTTTGAGTCGTAACACGACGTGCGAGTGGAATTATTTTCAGAGGATTTTTATCCCTTGTACGAAAGTAAGGAAACATTTTCACGTTGCCAGCTACAGGTGGCCAATGGTTGGTTTTGCACAATTCCTTGTTTGTGAGCGATTCGGAGAATGAAAGCGATTTTTTTTTAGTGTCCACGTTAAGTCTGATCCTCTGCAGTTTCACAGGCGGATGCCAGGAACCGAACCGGCCATCAAACTGTTTGTATTCGCCGGAACAAAAGGCGATGGTTCTCGTTTGCATGGCGTCTGGGGAGCAAGGGTCCCCCCACGCCACGCCGACTTCCCAGTCAGCGTTGTCGCCCACCTCCACATCCCACGTGTGCGTTCCCGTGGCCAAAGCGGAACCGAGCACATTGCTGCGCTTGAACCTCTCGGGGTTGCTTGGACGCGGCTGTCCTTTTCCAAAACTCACGCTGGTCATTTCTCCAGATAAGCTGAGAGCTGGGTGGGCCGTGTTTGGGTCCAGAATGACGGGACTGTAGGACACCTTCTCTTTCATTCCTTCCCACACGCTGAACTTGAGATTGCCCACGTGCTTGGCTTCGTCCAGTAGAGCGCCGCGTAGGAGTTGCTCGGGCCTGTCGGGCAGCTTCTGGATTCGGGTCATCACCGTCTTGAAGTTCTTCAGGAAGAAAACGGGGTCCGACTTCAGCAGTGCCTCTGCGCTCCTGATCGTGTCGGAGAGAGCGGCCCTCTCTTTGTCGAGTGCCTTTAACTTCTCCTTTACCGCCCGAGTCTTCTTCTGCTCTTCCTCCTTCACGGCAGACAACCTGGCCTTCTCCTCGACTTGAAGGAAGTGGCGAAGCTCCGCAAAATCCTTCTTAATCTGGTTTTCCACCTGCTCCCTTTGGGTCTTGATATATGCCGCGTTTTCATCGCAGCCAGTCCTGATCTCATTGTAATCGTTCAGCCTTTTCTTCGCATCCCGCAGGCCCTCCTGGAGTTTGTCTTTGTGACTTTTCGCAACTTTATTGATGGGATGGAATTTGTGGCCAGCGTGGATTTGTTCATCTTTGCATCGGAGGCACACCGGCTCATTGTGCTCCGAACAGAAGCGCGTAAGTTTCTCTTTGTGCAAGCTGCAGATGTCCTCTGAAGCCACCGAGGCTTGCGGAAGGGTCTGAAACACATTCTGCGACATGTTTCGGGGTGGATCCACTGATCGAGACTTTTTCCCACAGACTGGACACGAACTATCACCTTTCTCCTCCCACCACTGTTGCACACACGCACGACAGAAGCTGTGACTGCACAGCAGCACGACGGGCTCTTTAATAACAACCCAACAGGACATACATGGGAAATCGGACTTAACGCAGCTTGCCATGGGCTTTGCGAAGACAGCGACTCAAGTCTCGGAGCTTTCACCATTCACTCTCTGGAGAGCCGCAGTGTGTCGGCTTCCGTCACAAATGAAGGACTTGACAGAAGTCGAAAAAGTCCACAAGTCCACTTCCTGCTTTGGTGTCCTGAGTTGACCATGTGGGTTGCCTGTTTTAAAGAAAAAGTAAAAAATAATCTTGGTTTAAAAAAAAAAGCAATGACAAATAAACAATGCCAAAATAAAATGAGCTTTTATGACAACAATAAAAGAACAGAAATTGTGTCCTTTTAGCTTGCTGGCTAATTCTTGAGTGTGAGGGAATTGAGAAAAATAAAGACAAAAAGTGCCCAAAAGAAAAAAACATTCCAGTGGCGGCAAAAAAAAAAATTAACACTTGATTACCTTGCAACTTGACAAAAGTTTTGACAATTGTCAGGACACCTGCCGAGTAGTGCATGATTAACTTTTTGGGGAACTCGTGAGACACCAGCGAGAGCTTAGAACGAGCCTTTAAACAAACAAAAGTGGAAAAGCGTCGTGCTCCCGCATCAAGCGAGGCCCAACTCCGCTCGACGACGCGCCACTCGCACGAAATCGGGCCTAAACGGCGCACTGACTGAACATTTTCCACCGGTCAAACAACTAGAGCAAGATACTGATGAATTGGCGTTGCAATTAACCTCTCAATCTCGAAGACGGATTCGATCGCTTCTTTCAAACGGGGTCCGATTCTTCAGTAACTCGGGCTGCTTGTTAACTTGTCGGTGCCGCCGAAGTGCGCTTGTTCGCTCGAGACAAACACGTCAACTTACGGATACAGAAGTCAGGGTGAATAAATCTGGACACTGCGAACTTACAGAGGGTCCAGCGAGGCTGACTGGAACTTGCCGCGTCGGTCTGCTCTCGTCCGTACAGTAACACGTTACGGTTCCTGAGTTCGCCAACCGCGCGCGATCCGTTCAAAATGGCATTCAGTGTGGAAGGAAGGACTATTTTGCGGGGGCAGCCTTTTCTGGGATAAACACGTCACTTCCACTTACATAGATTGCGTCACTCCCGCGTGTACCGATGCGCATACGTCACTTTCGCTTCGCCGTCGCCTCTCTTCTGCGAGCGAAGCATTTTGAAAACAGTCTAGTTGATTATTTTGCTTTTTAGTCATGGCAAAATGCCATATTCATAAATGTAAGTTTATGGGAAAGGCTCCCAGCTTTTCCGTTTTCATTCAAACAGTGTATTTTTTACCATGAGGAATTCTTTGAAACAGAAAGCAATCACAGTACAACTATTTCTGCTTGTTTTGACTCCAATATTTTTATGTCAATATATTTTGAACGTGAAGAATTTCAGACGGGACGCGCTCGAAAGTAACATCTGAAAGTCAAATGAATTACTGACACACATTTCAACACGCACAAAATAAATTCCTTTCATCCCCCCCACTATTTAATAACAAAACAGGTTGGGGTGAGGATCAGAAATGTCAAGGCCACCGCGAAATATCCTACCTGACATCAGTTGCTGCAACTGTCAGAAATACATAAAAATCCACAAGAGATGTATAAATATAGAATAATAATGCACATTTACCTGAAGTACAACTTAGTATGCTTGTAAAACTCTTCTTTTCCTTCCTAAAAGTCTTATTCAGTTCATTTCCTCCTTCAGGAAACTGTTCTGGCCAGCAGGAATCGGGCGTCCTCCTTGCGCCGCAACACCCGCTGCATTTTGAAGGTGTTGGCCGAGGTGAGGGAGGAGCTCATCATGCGCTGGCGCAGTTCGGCGAAGGCGCCGCGGCCGACCAGCTGCACCCTTGGCGGCCCGATGCTGCCTTTGATGCGGAACGAACGGTACACGGCCGACGCCCGCTGCAGGCACACGTCCAGCTGCAGACCAAGACACACGTTCGATTCTAAAATCACACTTGAGTCACTCAACGGGGAGTCACCTTGTGGCGCTGCTCCTCGCTGAGGTTCCTCACACCCGACAGCTCCAAGAAGACCTGGTAGTGAGGGTCGCAGCTGCCCACACAATTCCCTGCGGCCCAGAAAAAAAAGACAAAAAAAGTGTGCGGTCGTTGATATGCAAATCACGTATCATGTGAAGCGAAAATTCTGAAAAGTAGGCAAGAGCAGTCAACAACAAACTTGTTTCACTTTTATGAAAAATAGGCATTAAAAATGCATTCTGTCACGAAATATGATAGTTTGCAAAAAAATATATATAATACTAATCATTTATTAGTTGCCGTACCCATAATCCCGCTCTCGGCGCAGCAGTAGTCGAGCAGGCGAGCGGGGGGCCACTGCACCACGGCTTCCTTCAAAGCATCCAGGAACAAGGCCTCCGACAATTTCTCGCCGCGAACGTTCAGCATCTGACTGCGCCTGCGAGCACACACGCGCCTCTTCAAGCGCACTGCTCACCATATCGGGTACACTCGCATTGTTTTAGCTGCTGAACCCACTCAAAAAATCTTTTCGCACGTTACACTGAAAGACTCCCGCTCAAATTAGATGTGTGCGGGTGTACCTCATGAATTGGCTTACCTGTATTGAAACTCCACAATTGGACATTGGTGATGGAATCCCACCACTTTCACCACGTCGCCGATGCGATATCTGGAACCGAGAAAAAAATAAAAAGCGACCACAAAATTTTAAATCCCTCTCCTGCAAAATCGGAGTTAGCCCACGAGAGATCTCATTGGCTCCTTTTAACTCCTTGGTTCCCGTTTCTACTGGGGAGCTCACCTGAAGAGGCCGGCGGCGTTGGTGACCACCAGCTCGTAGTTTTGTCCCACCTTCACGTCCTCCATGAGAAGCGTGGCCGCCGTCGCCGCCGCCTCGTCCTCCAAAAGGCTTTCTGGTAGGAACTCGCAGAACATGGAGCGAGGACACAGCAGGTAACGCCGGCTGGTCTCCTCGGGCCAAAGGTTCACCCCAATCAGACCTACATGGGGAATCGCGTGATAAAAATAAATCATAATTTGACATGAAAAACACACCAACGTGGGTGTGACAATCTGGACAGTTACTGAGAAAAACAATCGACATCCCTTTGAAGAAAAACTTCATTTGACCTTCAGTGGCAGCGTAGAAGGGCGAGTAGAAGGGGATGCCACTGCAGCAGTTGTCCCTCAGCATCTCGCCGTAGATCTGATTGGAACCCGAATCCACGGCCAGAATTAAATTGAGGCGGGGCCAGAGGCGTCCGGCGATGCCACGGAAGCCAGCCCCGAAGTCTGCCCGGAGCTGAGCCGCCCTCTCTGGGTCTGGCCGGGTCAGGGCCTCCAGCTCAGCCCTGACGTGCGGCTCCAGGTGGAGAGTGCCGCTCACCGTCCCGCACTCCACGTCCTCTGTCAGCTCCTGCCAGCGCTCCTGGAAGGTGCAAAACAATGTTGAGTCCTCACTTGCACTCGCTGAGGGAAAATGAGGGCTTCCACCATGGGAATCTTAAATGGCTGACTTGGTATCAATCATCAATATATTGCAAGACTAAGGAGCAGTGAGGAAAATACATTTGCAACAAATGTACCTGCAAAGTGGAGAAGGCGTAGTAGACGGTGGAGGCAAAGTTGGACTCGAGCGTTCCTACGCTGGGATCTTTGAGCGCAAAGAGGAGATGCAGGTAAAGCGCGTCCTTCTCGCTCGCCACCTGAAGTCACACGTGCAACGTCACAAGCGCGGAAAACTAACACAAAACAACAGAGTATCATTATAGAAGCACGTTGACATTATACGATGGAAACTGGAATCTAAAAACAAGAATCTTTTTAAGTGGAAATTTTTACCTGCAAAAAAAGTTATATTACGAGGGAATATTTTGGATATTTTGGAAAGCACAATACAGTACTGTAAAGTATCCTTTTGAAAAATACAGATCCCACGTCATTCACCTGGAAGGCAGGCGGTGGTGTGGTGTAGAGGTGGAGCATGTGACGAGAAGAGGCCGGCGTGGATGAATTGGGCCCAATGGGAATGCCGGCCTCCGATTGGCGGAACGTCGGCGTGTAGAAAAACTTGGTGGTGCGCTGCAGGCTGTCCGTGGCCGGGAACGCTCGCCGCATGGTGTCCAGGCACACCGCCACACCCTGGTGAACAATATCAGTTCTTAGAGTGCCATAAAATATCAGATCAGATCCAACACACACACACCCGCACACACTTTGGCCTGTTTTATTGCCAATTCTCTTCCTGATCTAGATTTGTGGAGACTATGGAAAGATGCTCCAAAAAGAAATTTGTCCTGAAAAATAGACCCCAAATAGTCCTACTATGTGACACGCTACCTGAAGGAAAAAGTCACTGTTGGTGTCCTTGGTGCTGAGGAGCATGGCGCTGGGTCCAGATGTCCCGGACGTCATGGCCAGGACTAGGGGCTTCTCTGCGGTGAGCACCCTCTCCTCCCCAGACGCCACACGACCCACCAGGTCACGGTAGTGCTCATACGTGGTGATCGGGTGGTGAGAGCGAAAGGTGTCACTGTCTGAAATAGAAATGTTTGAAAGAATTGCATTGCGGTACGGGTTGGCCTCTAAACACTACCACAGTTGAGGTGTGGTGTCACTCGTGTCCACTCACCTTTGATCGAAGCGAAGTCAAAACGTTTCCCGTAGAGCGTGTGCTCGTTTTTCCGGAGGCGGCTCAGCAGCGTCTCCTCCTGGGCCTTCCTCACGTTCAGCGTGTCTGCCTCCAACTTGGCCCGCTGCCACTTGCCCAGCCAGCCCACTGCCTTGAGGGCTGCGTACTGGCCGAGCAAGCTCCCCAGCGTCCGGCCTTCGCCTCTCACCTTGGACCGGATGTCCCTCAACAGCAGTGACACGCCCATCAGTGAGCACAGGCTGACGACGGCGGCGGCCACGGCCGGAGGACGAGGTAGGGCTGCGGGGAAACGTAGTTACACAAACAGGGGGATCACTACCAGAGGAAGGAATGGCCTGCTGGTGGCGCTGTTGTGCCGTTGGAGACATGACCTACCCTCAGTTTGGACGAGAATGGCGACGGCGGCCGATGTCGCCGACAAAAAGATCAGCACTACGGCTCGAAAAGACGACATAGCCACCTTGCAATGTTTTATTCGGAATCACATTAGTCGTCGGGACGAATAATAGCCGTCAAGGAAAAAGAAGTTTAACAAAATAAGAGCGCATCCTCCAGTTTCCTCCAAGTCGGCCATCATCAGTTGTCTTGCTGACTTCCGTGTTTTGAGGCTTGTTGTATTCACGTGCTCACGAAAGAGTGGTAATCGCGAGAATTGGGTGCATTTAACACCCTTCAGTAAAAGTCTAATTTCAGTTCCTTAAAATCACATGGAATATTGGCGAATTTCCTCCTACGTTCCAAAAACATGGAATTCCTCATGTCGAATTTTCTTTTTTAGTAGTGCAGCAGATTACAAACAAAAGTCCCAAAACATCTACGACTATTTTATTTACAAACCTATTTACAATTGTGCTTTGCTCTGTGAAAGCAAAAAACAGACAGAAAACAAACAAATCAGGCTTCTTTTTTTTACTGGCTGGTGATTTTTTTTCACGTTATAACGTATTATATTATTACAGTGTTTTTCTTTATGATTCTGAATCATTAACATGCATAAAAATACAAGTACAGACCACAACATTGGATTTGAAAAAAAGGCACCTGCTCCCATGATACAGGCATTTTTAACCTTACACAGCCACATGTGCATTCGTTCACTCGTTTGGGTTTCATACCGTGTGATGGTGTTTTCTTCCATTTTGACTTCCCGTCGTGGTCAGGCGTTCCTATCCCTTTGTCCACACAGCAAGTCCACTTGGGTTTTGAACAATCACGACAACACGATACATTCACCAGGGCTCCTCCGCAGCATACTTCACACACTTGGAACCATTAAATACAACACAAAGTCTACAGTCGAGTGCCCATGACACCAAACATGCAGTACAGTCCAGAAGAGTGACATTGAAACTCACCATTGTCTGCCTCATTCCAATTCATTCACTTTTTTTTTTGTCTTTGACATGCCGCCAAATTTTCTATACATGTTTAAGTCACAGATAAGGAAATTCTGCAATAACACATGCAGGTTTAAAAATGAAATAACCATCTACGCTTGAGAAATTTCCTTCAGTAGACTTACTTGGACCTTTCACGCACATCTCCTGTTGCTTTAGAGCACTTTCCCCCTACTTTATTTGATACCTAAAACTTGGAAAAAAAAAAATCACTTTTTTTTTAGACCCACTATGAGAAAGTACGTCTAAAAACAACAAGAACAACAAAAGAATCAGTAAAGTATCATTTGACTTCACAGCTGCTAGAAGACAATGCAGAGCCGGCTTGCCCATTAGGCAATGTCGGCAAATGCCACACCGGGTCAGCTCTGCAATAATGTGACAATACGAGAAAACAATTCTACAGCGCTCTTTGAAAGGCTTCTTTAGTACATCCCATTCATAATAACGAAGGTGAATCCCGATTGATTTGACAGGTTAGTGTAGGGAGCAACGTGTACTACTAGACTAGATTTGAGTGCACTTCTGCCCTCGATGGCTACTTTGCCCACTTCCTGTGGATGCTTTCTGTAAAAGGCAGCTTTGCCTATTGCTATATATTACAAAGTAATGGAGATGTAGCGTGGCAGGGGATAGAGAGAGCCTTTTTGTTTTCTTCTAAACGTGAAGGCACTTCCGGGTAGCACCTGGATTAGTCGTATTTTCGAAGTAACAAGTAAGAAGCCCTTGTGTCGGAGGGGAGCCTGAAGCAACGAGGTTTGTGGGCCTTTCGGGGTCACAGCAGGGAGAAGCCTAAAATGTACTGCAGCAGTTTGTTGCGGGTGGCCTGAGGTAGGAAGGTGGGGCTCAGCTCCAGCGTGGTCACGCGCTCCTCTCGTCGCTCCTTGAGGACCTAGAAAGAAAACGGTCCCATCAAATTCCAAGAAATTCATTCTCATTCTGAATATATTTTGATTACCCCGAGATCCTTGAACGTTCTCACTGTGTTCTTCACCAAGTAATGAGTTGCACTTTCACCTGAAGACAATAAAGAAAAGTGAATCATGAAGACACAAGAAGAAATAAGGACAAATGATCAAAATTTGGTTCGCAGTACTAGTTTGAAGGAAAAAAAAAACATGCCAACCTAATATTGTCAGAGAGATTAACTGAAGGGATTTTTTTTTTTTTTTAATGATTCAAAGTGCATTTGCCCGCAATCACCGTAAGCAGCAATTCTCTTCTCGGTGCGCGTGAGCAGGTATCTGAAGAGGCGCTGCGTGTACTCAGTCTCGGCCATGGGCTGACTCAAGCTGTGCACAAAGATGGCGGCACCGCTGTAGGCCTCCAGGACGGAGCTGAGGAGCCGCTGCAGGAACACAAAGAACTCCTGGTGCTCTGCCGACAGGCTCACCTGGAAAGGGAAACTCAGTAAACGTCAAGTCGTGTTGTTCATTGCTATCTAATTTCACTACTTGTGCACTCCCCCAAGATGTCTGCCTGAAGTGGACGAAAAAGCAAACAAGAACCTTCAGGTAGCGATCCCGCTGCTCCTCCCCAAAGTCGCTGTCTTCGTCCTCCTCGTCGCTCCTCCAGGAGAGCGGCTCGGGAAACTTTTTGGGCCACGGTTCTTCCGTCGGACTGGGGCTCAGTTCCTCCTGGTCCTCCTGACACACAATGGAGCCATCAGGGCGGAGAGTGCCACGGTGACAGGAATTGTGGGTCCCTCCAAACTGACCTCAGCGACATAGAGGACGCCATACTGGATGAGGCGGGTGATAGCGTCGAGGAACACCTGGTATATAGTCTGGCACGGCTGCGGGGTGGAAACAGGATGGGGTTGACTGTACGTTCAATGAATAATCGTAAGCTTGAGTCCGGCGGTGCACAACACTTACAGAGGCAACGGCCACCTCGTTGACCAGGAATTGCGAGAGGCCGGCGGCCTTGCGGATGAGCTTCTCTTGACTGAGTGGGCAGTCGGCGGCTACGGCGCTCGGCCCTTGTTGCAACGCTAGCGCCGACGACTCCGACTCCACCGCCTGCTCCCGCTGAAGGGACAGGATGCTGCAGGCTGCGTGCAAATTCAACGACACCTCAGGCGAGATCGCGTCAGGGATTTGTGTCATTAGAATTCAATGAATACCTTTTTTTCACCCAATTAATGTTGTCAAAATAAACAATTTCACATTTAATGCATTCATTGTTCGTAAAATGAAAATGTGTTGTCTTGAATAATTGGTTGAGCATGATTTTTTTTGTTGTACTGTGAAATTATTTTACACGACATGACATTTGAAAAGCGGCTGCCTGGAGCGACGACATACCGACGATGGCGTCGGGGATGAAGACGTGGAAGAGGCCGTTGCTGTAGAAGTTGAGCTCGAAAAGCGCCGGCACGGTGTGGCTGGGCGCGATGGTGAACTCGCCGTTGCGGTTGGCGCCGCCGGTGACGGCAATGCAGTTCTCCAGCAGGTGCAGCGCGCGCATCACCACGTCCTCCGAGTTGCCCGAGAAGCCCAGGTCAAAGTCGCGTGACAGCACTTCCTCCTTCATGTTGAAGAAGTCCTCCACCAGCTTGGACAGTGCAACGCCCTGCGGGAAGGAACCTCACGTTTCGATCACGTACGGATGCTGGCCAGACACATGCGCCACAGTTCCTGCAGGGGGCACTAATGCTTAAAATTGCTCATGAGGGAAGGAACCTGATCTCTGGGTCATTATTGTGCAGTGAGGTCTTTGTGACCTTTGTTCCACCTTACTTGGTGGAGGGCACCACAAGGCAGGGCAGGCAGGAGGGAGAGTAAAATCCCTCTTACAAATAAAAAAACAAATGAGCAGACGTACCTGTCGGTGTCGGTAGAGCAGCAAACAGGCCACGATGTGCGTGGACATGATGGCGGATGACTTGTTTGCCGCTACATGGGGAGGATAGAAGGAACGTTGAACAACACAGAAACAGACATGGTGGCGGCTTGGTGCTCATCGCCTCAAATGGAGATGTGAGAGGCCTCAAACTGTACAACCGGTTCCGCAGAGCCGAGCATTATGTTGAAAAAAGAAAATCTGAATACATCAAACAAAATAAAATGCATTCTGTGGGATTATACATCTTGGAAGAAAAACGTGAACCCTTGGAGCGATCTATACATTGCTCCTAAAATGTGATCTTCATCTAATCACAACAAGGCCTCGCAAAATATTCACAAAGGAATTCAGAACAGACAAATCAAGAAACGTAAGGTGTGAGGGTTACTCCAAGTCATCGTACGCATCGGTCCTTTGAGGGGACGAAAGGCAGCGGGAGCAGCAGAACACCGGCGCTGGCGCTGCATTCCGGCCCCTCTTGGGCTCCCCCCCGCTCTACCTCCTCTGTGTCCTATTGGCCGAAAACAACATGCCATAGAGCTGCGGGTGCTGTGATTGGCTGCTGGGTATGGGGGGTAAAAAAAAAAAAATAGAAAAAGGGGAGGAGGACAATGCAGCTGACCGAGCTGGGGGGAACCGGTTTCTGCTGCTGCTACTGCTGCATAAAGCACACCTTAGGACGTGACATTGGGAAGGAATAAGATCCACTAATGAAGAGAGGCAGCCTTACTGAAAAGAACGTGTTTGGCCAGGTTGTTAATGAGCTGTCGTCGGCACAAGTCTTCGGGTAGCTCTCTGTTCTGGTGGCCCTCCTCTTGTCCGTCGAACAGCTGCGCGTCAGGCCTGAACAAATTCAAAAAAAGTGTCATAGAAAGATCATTTGCGGTGTATTGTTAAAGGCCGGGAGGGTGTAGTCCAAATAAACGGGCAGCTGCAGTGGGACTGTGAACTGAAATGACCCCTGGGTAATGTCAACTCAAGTGCCGTGCGCAAATGTCAAATGACAGCGCCTGCTGCGAGGAAGTGGGAAGAAAGCGGCAGAGGCGGCCATTTTGGAGGCTTTATTTGAAGGTTTTAGTGGCACGCAAGAGGAAGAGAGTTGCACTTACTCCGCATCTATGATGGTGGGCATCAAGGCGTGCTCGAGGGACAGCGGGGGTGCAATGTGGCGGCTTCTCTGGCTGTCCAGGTATTCCTGCGTTCAACGGGTGAAAAGGCTCACAATCAATGAATCAGTCATATTGTGATGTGTTGCTTTACTTATATGAAATATATTTTGGCATACTGTACGTAGAGGGACCTAAATGATTACGAAACATTCAAACGGCAGTACAAAATGGCGAACTCGCGACAGCGCACTATGGAGAGAGTCAGAACATAGCCATACAGTGTGATGTCATTCTTGATTGATCGATTTCGACCATACCCGTCACAGATGTATTGAAAACAAGGACCCTCTCACCTTTAGGGAAAACGGCTGGTTGAAGTCGACACGGACGCAGCCATAGTTCTTCCTCAGCATCCTGAACACGCCGCACGCTATTCCCCACAAGCTCTCGTTCTTCTTGGGCTTGCCCTGCATTCACGGAAGAGTTCAGACATGGCCACGCCGGCCACCCCGAGTCGACGACGACGACCGGCGGCCTCACCAGCTGCTCGCTGTTGTAGTTGCCCTCGATGATGCGGTCGTACGAGATGCCCACCGGCACCACGAGCACGTCCCCGATGGAGCCTGTGCGCAGCGCGTCCACCACGATGGACAGCATGCCGGCGCGCGCCGTGGACGGTTTGCCGCTGCGGGAGCGCGTGCCCTCCAGGTAGACCTCAAGGAACTGCTGCTGACGCAACAGCTCTTCTGTGTACTGGAGAGACCACGTTAGACCACGTGAGGATGAGAAGATAGATGATGCAACAGGTAAAAGCCAGTGAGAAACAAAACATTTTTGGCATTCACACAGAACCCCGGTGGAAGGCAAGCCTCTTGTGCTCAAAATTGACAATAAATCCTTGCATAGTCGCAGTTCGATATTCTTGATTCCACAATTAGTTTTTCTCAATCAATAATTGTACACATATTTGTTTTGTTTTGAATCAGAGATTTTACGTGAAGGCCATGTCACCAGGCCGAGCTAAAACTGAGCAGGTTAAAAAAGTGTGTTGTATGAAATCGTCCGCGTGCCAGACTTTGGACACAAGCGGTGTTGTGTAATCACATCCTTTCACAGCTGTCTAAAGACATTTTTGGGGGTCCGGGGGGAGGGGGGGGGTGCTTTGTCCCAAAATAGACCGCCGCCTTGGATTCAGCTGCAAAGACCAGAGGCCATAACAGCATTTACAGTGTGCCGCAGAATGTTAGGTTTGATCATATTGCTGAGTAGGGGCTGTCTCGGTCTTATTTTTGTAGCATTAGATGAGCCATGAGGCACAATTTTGAAGGTCAAACTACACGAGTTGGCCATCATTATACACACACACACACACACAACTGTCCTGAGCTGATAGCACTTATCTTATTGGCTCAACACGCAATTACTTTGGCGGGTCGATGTGAAGTGCAGCATGTCACAGACAAGGAGCAACTCTCAAACAAACGCTTTCATTCTAAGCGCAGTTTTCTCGTGTGGAATTGCATGCAGGGTGAACTAATTCAGGGAGAAAAAAATGATTATATCCTGTTAAATGTACTGCAGGGTGACGTTTGGAGTGCAAATTCGCATAGGGAAGTGAGTCCCAAGACTTTTGTCCACATGACCGCAGTCGACTCACAGCATATAGGAGTGATCGGTACAAAACGTCTTTCTTGCCGTCCCCGGACTCCTCCATTTTCCGCCGTATGAAAAATCCTCCCAGCTTTCGGATCAGGGTGCTGAAAAGCACAAAAAAAATGGTGCTTGTAAACTATGGGCATATTCACTTGAGCAAACGCGACGCGAGGCTCACCTGAGAATGGGGATGCTGAGGTTGTTGCCGGCAGCGATGTGCGGCGCTTTGATGTTGTGACAGAAGAGGATCAGCGTGATGAGCAGATAGTCGATGTGGGACTTGTGGACAGGCAGGAAGACCATGGGAGCGCCGTGCTGCACGGGGCCACAGACGACATCAACAATTTGTGGACTCCATTTTGCTTGACACATTGAACTTTTTCAACATTTTTTTGGGGTGTGTTTCCTGACCTCCGCCGCTGCTTTTTTGACCATTTCCAGCTGGCCCTTATGGATCTGAATGCTCCAGAAGAAACCATTAAAGAGCCTCAGGAGAACCCATCCTGTCAGCCTGGATCGGAGAGTAAGAAAAAAGTTGATACTGCATACCTGGTGCCATATGAAGGCAGTGACAACTGTTTTCAACACAACAGTGCGAGCGAAGTGAGCGTCGGGTGTTTGACTTAACGCCCCTGTTCCCCAACACACATGTACCTGACGAAGGCGGGCGAAACGCTGGCCACCATCTGCTGGAGGAAGCGTCGGGCTTTTTGCTTGACTTTCCCGACGGATTTGCTGTGCTCACCGCCGGCCTCGTCCGAATCGGAGGCCACGCTCAAGATGGCGCTCTCAACGCTGACACAGAAGAAAAGTTTACTTTTAATAGGAAACATATTTTGGGATAACGGACAACTAAATGTCTTGCACCTATTAAGGTCTACTGATCGGGTGGACTACCTGCTGTTGTTGAGCACGTTTTCCACCACGTTCCGGGGGAACATGTCCTTGTGAACGTCTCGTTCCATGACAAAGAGGACATAGCTCAGTTGCCGTGCCAACCAGCCGCGCTGCCTGCAGATGGGATCAAAAAGGCATGCTCACAGTACAGCACATGTGAGGTTTACTTCACACTTGTACCGCAGTTGAAAGCGTACCCCGAATAAAGGTTTTCTGATGAAAGCAGCAAATTGACTTGGCTTTATTGGCTGCGGAGAAATTTGTTTTTGAGATGAGGAAAAACGTAACCGGCGTCGCATTGCGTTCCACTTGGGAGTGTCCGCACTGTACAAGCATCGGGTACATTTGGAGTTGAACTGACACGTGCGACTCCACCGACTGTTTCAATTATTCAGCTGCCTACTCCAATGTGTCACACAATTCAATCCACGTCTTTCCACTACTACTGCTCCATAGAAGCCTCTTCTGGAATCAAAATCACCTCAGGGTGGCTTTCAAAACGTCCCCATTTCACCCCCCACCCCCCCAAAACAAAATTGAAATATTTGAGTGAACACCATATTTGACTTCAAGATGGCGCCGCGTGAGTGGCTGCCTTTCCAGCAGCTCCTATATTTTGTTCTACTTCTTCCATTCATAACTTTGCTGCTGTGAATTGGGAATTTCTCCATTGCGAGACTAATAAAGGTTTTCTTATCAAAACAAAATTGAGATATTTGAGTGAACACCATATTAATTGTATTGCACAAAATTTATGTGTTAAGAGCAAAACTATGTGTGCTGCTTGCAGGCAGGGTGTTGTATTGCACAAAATTTATGTGTTCAGAGCAAAACTATGTGTGCTGCTTGCAGGCAGGGTGGACATTACTGGCTGATGTTAGCATTTTATCAGCACGTGGTGGATCTTCACTTTGCAAAAGTGACCCGCAGCACGTACCTGGTGTGGGTCTCGTTTATGTAGATGACGTTACGCAGGCCAAGCGATGGAATGCTGGGGTTGAACAGCTTTTCCTGTGGTGACAATACAAATGAATGAATGTGTCTTTTGAGTGAGCCCTTCTGCCCCACTGTGATGCAACAATCGGGCTAATTAATGCAAGAATTATATAAGGAAACAGCACTCAGTGTGTTGCAGTTCGACAGAGTTGCAAAGTAGCATAATAAACGTAGTCTCCAATGCCTGTTGCTCCTGTACGTCAATTATGCTAATGGTTACGTGTTAATTGGCGGCAGCGTGTAAGGTTACCCAGCTCTGTGGCGTGCAAGAGTCAAGACACAAATATTACACCATGGTAATAATAAACAAGAGAATGCCCTCAAAAAAAAATTGCTCCAATGTCTTGAATGAGCTGAATTCTTTGACGAGGGCACAATTTGACACAAATATTACACAATGGTAATAATAAACAAGAGAATGCCCTTAAAAAAAAAGTTGCTCCGATGTCTTGAATGAGCTGAATTCTTTGACGAGGGCACAATTTCAGATTGGCTAAGTTTATAAACGCAGGTGGATTTTTGAGTCTTACGGAGTCGTCATTGGGCCGCTTCCAGCGGTTGCACCACTGCTCGCCGTTGTTGACCTGCAGAAGCAAGCCGTCCGCCAACTCCATGGCCTTCGGCGGCCTTTTCTTCTCGTCCCCTGCGCACGCAGCCACCCTCTAACTGGACACCTGGTTAGAACGATAAAAACACCGACAATTGATTTCATTTGACGTTCTCGAGACGCAGTCAGTTTGAACCACTGGGGCAGCACAAATATTTATTTGCAAGGCTGGCCTTTTATTCCCCCGCATTGCTTGCCACAACGTATGCACACGCCTGCTTGGGAAATAGTGTAGTGAGTCACTTTCATCAATGGATGCTGCCCACCGTCTAGTGTGCGTGTTGTGTTTCAGCGCAAGTGCTCGCCGCGCACACTGATGAGTGGGTTTTTTTTGTACGGGGTCATTGGCCGGGAGTACTACCCGCTATGGGGTGACTTTGTTGGGAGCCAAACAAAAGCAAGTGAGGAATGAGAGGCCGTGGCCATTGAGTAACAGTGGAAGGTTGTTGCCACGTCGCTGTAGACGTCGAGAAGAAGCAATAGTCCAGTTTTTGCTTCAGCTCAAACAATTAGGTTTTAAATTTTAAACAATACTTACTTCCACCTGTGTTCCATTTTCAAGATTTTTCCAAAATTGGTTTGAAATGTGGGCTTGTGATGCTCAATTTAATACTGATGTCATATGGATTTTTTTTCCCCAGGGGGGCGGAGTTAAATTACTATACTTAATCATGTGGATTTTTCAAGGGCGCTTGTTTAATGCATGAGACAGATACACCTGTAAAACAAGCCAATTTCACCTTGATCTTCTGAGTACTTTGATGGAAGCATACCACAAACATGTTATGGAGACACCTTTTAAATCATGAAAGAATAGTCTTCTTGTTTTGACACAATAATGATCGGGGAGGTAAACAAGGGGCAGTTGAAGCCCCCTCCCTTCCGCGATTTCATAAATAAGCAGGTCAAACTGTTAAGTGACAGATGGAGATGCAAATAACTAGTCGCACAGACAACAATGGCGAGCTGGACGTCTGGCCTCACACTACTGCATCATGTTAAGCGGAACCGGGATTAGCCACTATGCTAACCGGGATAACCTTAAACTGGTTGAGTTGGGAAGACGCTGAACAAGCTTAGCGGGAGCACTTTAGTCTTTATTTCACGGTGAACACGGAGGTAACACGACTTAGTGCTACGTCGGATGAAAGTTGCTCAATTGCGGCCGCCAACGTCACAAAAGATGGAAGAAGCGACCGGCAGCCTGTTTCCATGACAATGACAGCACGAGACGACCGATGGAGGGTTGCTAGCAAGGCTCGCTTACCTTCAGTGTCGTATTACGTCGACTCATGTCTCAAACGAACGCCCATTAAAAAATCAAACAACAACGGAAAGTCCTACTCCACAGAGCTTGGCCGCCGTGGGTGATGTTGTGGTACCGTTCTAACGTCGGCCGCCGCAGGACACAGAATGCGGCGATTAAAGCCTTTCGTCCATTGGAGCAAAAAGCTTCAGGCTGCTCATTAATATTGAAAACATTCACTTAGCTCTGATTGGCGGAGGCCAAGTCCAAACCCCAATCGCAGAGGAAAGCCTTCGTGAATATTTATAAAGTAGGTTCATTCATGCGGCGCCACCCATCTTTGACTGCTAATTTACAATTCGCTGAATATTAAACACGACTGCCACCTTTAGGTTAAATTAAGAACTACACGTTTTACGATGAGGTTCAATCAGCTGTCATCTTACGCCCTCTTGCGGTGGAAAAATGAATTGCATTCACGTCGAGCCTACCACTCTGCCTGTGTGGGAGATTTGAATAAAATGCTACGACGTTAAGTACGTTAATGTCGTTGGCAACACTCACACTAGTTTGTTTCTATGTTAGCGACTAAGGTGCTACTTGTTACAGCTTGGCTGAAAATGACGGGTTTATTTCGCCGTTTATAGCCACGGATGTGCACACGATGTCCCTGACGACGGTTGAAGTGGTTCCGACCGCACCGACCGGTTTCTCTGCTTTGCATACTCTTCATCAAGCTAGCTGCAGGTATGAGGTAAGTTTGCCGTTCCACGTACAGATATGGATCATTTTCCTAAACAAGCGGTTATCAATGACCTATTTCAAGCACGAGTAAAGACACTTCTTTAGCATTTATGTGAATAAAAGCGTCATGTTAGACAAATGTATATTTTGGCCCAGCGCTAACTAGTTGGTTAACTTCCCAGACATGTCTGACGTCACATCACAAAGCTGAACATTTCGAGACGAAGGTGACAGACGTTTTCAGTTGACAGGCCCAATTTCAACTTCGATTTGCTGTTTCATATCTTTAGAGACAAAGGCATTCAAACTAGAAGTCTGCTCAAATTTTAATTCACCTGACAAGGCATGCAATGAATGATACCAGAGTTCAACAACTGAGTTGTTACATAGATATGTATTTTTTCCATTGTGAATCTTCGACTGCATCAAAGCCACAGTTTGGAATAACTACCAAAGATGCCACTTGGTGTCATTAAGTTGGGGTGGAAAATCTCCATAGGAAGTTTGGAACAAATCCAAATTGGGTGTAATAAAATAGCTTGTCAGTCAGATGATTGCGTCTAATAACATGCCTAATCCAACTTGTTTCCCAAGTATGCTCAGGCTTCAGAAGCGCTTGGCGTCCAGCGTCATGGGCTGTGGCAAGAAGAAGGTTTGGTTGGATCCCAACGAGACTAATGAGATTGCCAATGCCAACTCGCGTGAGTTGTTTTACTGGCCACGTTGTAACCTATTTGTGCCACCTTAATTCTTCCAATACGACGCGACACGACAGGCCAGCAAATCCGCAAGCTGGTGAAGGATGGCCTGATCATCAGGAAGCCTGTGACAGTGCATTCCCGTGCCCGCTGCCGCAAGAACACGCTGGCACGCCGCAAAGGACGTCACATGGGCTACGGTGGGCTATTTTTTTTTTTTTGCCTCATTTCCATCATGCTCAAAAATTGCAAGTGGCTTTTTAACATTGCATACAAGAGTTTTCAAACAATAAACCGGCCCTCGAATGAAACTGTAAACTCGCTTTCTTCCGCTTGCAGGTAAGCGGAAGGGTACTGCCAACGCCCGTATGCCCGAGAAGCTGATCTGGATGCGACGCATGCGCATCCTGCGCCGTCTCCTCCGCCGTTACCGGGAGTCCAAAAAGATCGACAGGCACATGTAAGCGCTGGTTCTTTTTTTTTTTTTTGGTCAATTCCAAATTCGTTGAGCTTAACCCGAAATTGCCTCTCCCTGTCCAGGTATCACAGTTTGTACCTAAAGGCCAAGGGTAACGTGTTCAAAAACAAGCGCATCCTAATGGAGCACATCCACAAACTTAAGGCAGACAAGGCTCGCAAGAAGCTCTTGGCGTAAGTTATTTCATTTGATGAAACCCTCATGGAATCCTAGTAATATTTTGTGCCATTTGGGTTTGGACGTGTCCAAATGAAAATCATTGAAAATTTCATTTTTGGTGTTGCACCAACGAATGAAATGCAAGTAAGCGTGTTCTCTTTGGTCCAGCGACCAGGCCGAGGCTCGCCGCACAAAGACGAGGGAAGCTCGCAAACGCAGAGAAGAGCGTCTCCAGGCTAGGAAAGAGGAGTTCATCAAGAATTTGGCCAAAGAGGATGAAGCCGGCAAATAAGCGACCACATCCCACTCAACTTTTTGTTATGAATAAATTTGGGTTCACGTTACCACATGCTGGTCAGTGTCTTTTGTTTTTAACGTGTGGAGCTTAGATTTTAAATACTGTTGTACCTCGACTTACAAGTATCAACTTCTTAAAGTTGTAAATAAAACGGATTGATTCCAGAGGTATCAAGGTACCGCTCTGTGAATAAATCAGTGTTTTGAGCTGGATGCCAAAAGGTGGCAGCAGAAAGCAGACGATCATTTTTCACTGTGGAACTTAAAAAGTCAAGTTCCAGCAGCAGGTTGTCATTAGTTATCTCGAAAGGTAAGATTTACAAACAAGGTGGGCAACACCCTCATCCATGCTCGGCCTTTGAAAAAAATCCGCACGCCAGTCGTACAAAAGGGTTACGGGATCCAGTTGACAAATACAAACATCCACCCCGGTGAATGAGTTCAAACCTGCCTGCACAGTTTAATCCGTGAGCCCTGTTATTTTAGTATTAATAGAAATAAAAGGTCACATTGCAGCCTACGTTTATGGTGCCGCCATATAAAAGCAATCTCGCATGTAAAAATAGCCGTCTCAGGTAAAGTAAATGAGAGGCTTCAAGACGGAGGGGGGCGGGGGGGAGGCCATATTTGCAGCTCTCCTCATCTCGTTTCTTCATTACTGGGAGGTGCTGCTGTTTCCTGGAGCGTGAGGCGAAATGGGATTAGACGAGGGGAAGGAATATGAGCCGCTGTTCATTACTACACTCAGCCATCAACGCACACAGAATCAAATTTTCCACATGCAACAACAATACCGGTTTAAAGCTAACATTGCCCATCACTGACCCGCTTAGCTGTTTCGTTGCTATTTTTACATCCGCTCTAATGCAAACAGTACAGTGGGCTCTCCATAGTGAGCTAATCAGCTATAGCGGACATTATTTTTTTCTAAAGGGGAAGTCAACCTTTACAATCTGTTCTTTGGAACTAGTTTTCCTCCCTTTCAAAAACATGCAACATTTCAAACATTTAATTTTATCAGCGTCAAGTAAAAGGTATCAGATGAATTCATTTTCTATGGGTAAAACTCATTTCAAATCTAAACAAAATTGAGGTGTGTCCATGCTGCCTTGGTCAAAATCTGGCCTATAAACAGACATAGTTAGAGGTGGAGCTTTAACGCGCAAACAATCGAAGGGAAGCAAAAAAATCAGCTGGAGGCAGCCAACAAAAAACACTTCATTAAATAATACATAAGTCAGCAATCGCTAAATGCATTAAAATGCTAAACAAGTTAAGCCACAACGGCGATTCATTTTCACACTTTCTGCAAGGAGGCTGCAGAAGTTTAATTAACAGCAGGGTGACAAATGTAAGATGAATTCCATTGTTGTGGCCATTTTTTTTTTTTCTCGTTCACTGTGTGCATGCACGGCTGAACTGAAGCGACGAGAACATGAATTTCCATTTGAAGTGCACACGGGGTAATTGAATGCTGCCGAGAGGGGAAGAGATGGAAAGATGTGACGAGAGGAAGGAGGCCAAATGTGTTTGGAGCAGAGTCATTTGAATTTTGTGGTTCATGGCAAATCGTCAAAGGCTCCACCCACATCCTATGTTGTGGGGATTAAACTCCTTCGCCATCTGGTCTCTGATTCTGATTTAGGCCCATTTGGTTGAGGACTTGGTTAAAGTACGAGCCTCGGAAGGTGACGCAAATCCCCCCCTCCCATCTCTAAAAACTCCTGAAGTCACCCGAAGAACATGCAAAGGTGACTTTGCCTAGATTCGCTTTGCCAATTCTCTCCAACTTGAATGCAGCCAGCCTGTCCGAAAACAAACAATAGAAGCGCGTCAAATTGCCGTGTCGGCGTGTGGCGATATATATATATTTAAAAATCCAGGCCCAGAAAAGCGCTTAGGCGGAGGAGCTGAAAAATTCATATCTACGCGTCGGCAAATGCGTCGTGACACGAGCCGCCGAGAGCACAGAAAAGAAAGAACAAGAAAAAAAAAGTAATACCTTTCTTTGCGACTTAATGGATTTTCAAGTGCACTTTTACGGTTCTGTGTGTTTGGAAAGCACATAAGGTCAGCAAAGAGGCGAACCGGGCTCAGTTGAAAAGATGTTTGACATGAAGTCCAATAAAAAACGAAAAAAAAAAAAAATTCATACTTTGGCAGATACATGTTTGTATTTTGTTGTACTCTATTACTATCTTACTGAGCTTGAAAAGGTCTGGTTGGTTCATGTCTAAAAATGTGTCACCAATGTACTATACAAATGATTTAATTGTCACTTTGTCATTGAGTCAAAGCGGAACCAGAAGCGGGACTATGGGAGAACCTGGTTTCCTCAGACATTAGGGAGATACAACAAAAGTTTGTTGTTGTTGTTGTGTTTTTTTTCTTTTCTTTTGACTCATTTGTGAGTCGCAGCTTGGTACAGAGATAAATCACCATCACGCTCCCTGGAGTCATTAAGAGGAAGCATTAAAGATAAAGAAGCAAGCATCTTGCCAGGAGCACTGTCCTCATTAACCTCCATGCCTCAAAGTACAAATACTTTAGTTACTTTAGTAGCTTTTTCAGGCATCTGTACTTCACAATGTTTTACTCCTACTCCCTACATCTGAAGACATGTCGGTGCTTCCTGCTCTTTACTTTTCAAAAAATTAACCTATAATCTAAAACAATCCCACGTATACTGAGGTATTTGTTTTTGTATTATCAGTTGCTGATTTTGCTGCTTTTTTTTTTGCTAGTCAGTTCACAGGTGAAGCATAGCTTGTGCTAACACTAGTTTTTTTTTTTTTAAATAAAATCCTGGGTCAGGGCAGAAACCCTGCCTCTTAAAAACGTTTAAAAAATCGTACAGTAGTGACATAATGAAAAGGAATCAAACCGGTTTCGCTTCAATTCACTGGCCATTGTGCTGCTCCTTTTGATGTGCGTCTTGGCCACCGGGAGGCAGTGTAATACAGACCTATATGGAAGGACATGAGAATAATGTTAGTCATATTTCAGAGGATTAAGACGAGATGCATACACAACGCTCATCCCAAAGAGGTTAAAATTAAAAATCGTCCCAACGATGGCTTGCATCGCCCAAAATCCGAAAGCCGGGTTTACACGGGTCTCAAGGCGCTGACTTCGACTTTTACACAAGGATCCGTACTTATACTTAATACTTTTGCCACCTCTGCTCGCCCGTGACAGTTTTGGGGAATGGAAGGGGCGACAACATCAAAAAGGGTGAGATGGAAGAAAACTGCTCTAAGCAGGTGTGGAGGTGGGCGAGCAGAGGGTTGACTTGCCACAATGTGCCACACGAGCTTCATCCAGCTGCAAACAAACAAAAACCATCTGTGATAAGCGCTGACTCAGCCATCTGGAACCGCCCGCAGCAGCGTTCACCCCAACTTTAAGGACACGCTCGAGTAAAGTACAGTGAACCCACGCAAATGTGCAGTTTGGCGTTCACACGGCACTGTTTTTGTGCACGGGTGGTATTGCTTTGGTATCATCTGAAGTGAGTTGAGGAGCTTCACATTTAGGTCCAAGTAGTTCTCTGGCTCCCTCTTGTGGCATGTGTAGGAAATTATAGTCCAGAATAAACCTTTTCAGGAGGAGTTGTGTAATGTTGGGAATCGAGGGGACTATTAATCATACTATATCACCATTAAAAAAAATATATATATTTTTTTTTGGGGTTGTTGTTTATTTTCCACCAAAGCTGCAGATCGAAAAATGTCCTCCCTTCTCAACAAACACATGTAATCAAGCACTATTTTTGGCACTCAATCTTCCTCTGCACTTTGCAAAATAGACGTTTTGTTTGCCCGAGCTTTCAACGAAACAAGAGTGAACGCGCCAAAAGGAGACGCCGGCCTGACGTTTCGAGCGTACCTCAACAAGATGAAAAATGGAGACCATTTGAGTTGAATCCTCCGTTTCTGTATTTATTTTAGAAATGACTCAAAAAATATTGAAATGTATTGTTGTTTTCAAATATACGTGAAAATAATTACAGTACACATTTGTTTGTCGGTGCCATTTCGCATCCCCTCCAGTGACCAAAAAAAAGCTGAAAAAGTGACAAGATGCCAGAGCAACTTGATGTTCAGCCACTCCCGCGTTTTTCCAAAATCGCATTTCTTCCAGTTTGATAACAGAATTGGGTCATCATTTGAGAAATTGCGCCACAGCAGGCACACTGACACACGGTGCCAGTGTGGTCAATGGCCTGCCAGCAGCTTTTCCGCTGCCAATGACTTTTATTGGGAGTTAATGGTATTACTTGCGCTCATTACGAGCAGGCGACTGGGGGCTTCTCGGGATGGAGACGAGGGGGAACCTAAGTGTGATGGATCCTCTGCACAGAAACAAACGGACTAACAACGTTGGATAGATGCGAAACATCTTCTGTAGGTTAATTAGATGGCTTTCCCTCATTAAGAACACCGCCTCGCTCATGACGAGTGACGCAATAAAATGGATGTCAATCACACAGCTTTGCTATTTTTACCGGGATGTCAAAAGTCCTTCCGGGTGGCGATAGCTCGTCAATGCTGGCTAATTACTGTAATTGTTGTTCGGGTTAATTTTCTTTTGGCACTACTATGGATAGCGCACTGCAGAGCTGCCGTTTGCTTGCAGGCTAGCCAAACATTTTATACCAGGCGTCACCGACCTTTTCGAAACTGAGGCCTACTTCTTGGATATTGATTAATTAATGTGAAGTTGCGACAACATATAGCATTTTGGACTAGTGGTGAACTAATTTTACAGTTCCTGCACGGGCTGTCAATCCACTTGTCAAACAAATGACGACACACACAAACAAACGGAGGGTTCATCGCACTTTATTGGGCAACGCCGAAAAGTGATATGGCCTGTCAATAAATGGTCCTGAGCCCAAGTGTGTGTTACTGTACGTGTGCGGAGACGAAACAAAGCGAGCGACGACATGGGCTGTGCATAGTGTTCTGGCTTAGCCGAGTAAATAGATAAAGAGTGCAAAGTGTTCACTGGGCTTTACTTTTTCCACATTTTGCTTTGCAAGCTGCAAAGAGGAATCTGAATGAGTACTTGTCAGACGTGTCAACGGAGAAACTGGCCAAAGATGCAGTAGGCATGCCAATGAAAACTGTAAGTGATGCTCTGCTATTGTTGTGATATCAATGCCCTTATTAGTCGCTTTCTGCATGGCTTTACTATTCAGAGTAGCGTGTCACAAGAAGGCTGGCCATGTTTTATTGCTTTGATGCCATTCATTATTGTTTTTTTTTTGTTTTTTTTAACGTCGCGCTCCCGAGAGATGCCATCTTGACAAGAAACGGTCACATAATAATGTGACCATACATACAGTATGAGTACAGCAGATAAGGCAAATTGGAAGTGGTGAAATTATCGTGACAAGACTACCAGAGGTGCATCTGCGCGGGGATAGTGTCAATCGCGGAAATGACTAGAGAGCGGTGCAAAGTGGAACTTCCAAAAAGTGGAATGCCCCGAGGGTTGCAAATAAATTTGGAGCAAAAATTGGAATCAAAACGACATCGCGTGCAAAATCTCATAAGACATAAAGCCGCGCTATTTTTTTTCCCTACAACTGATTAATTAAGATGTGTGTGTTCATTTGTTATGCTATGAAATACTGCAAAATGCCATCGCATAATGAATAGCATGTTGTGTGTGTTAACCATTCAAGCTAAGGATATTTAATCACAAACAGTGTGGACATACAATATAAAAATACTCATGGGCATGTATTGTTTGTCCTCTGCAAAAAATGATAAATATTACTGCAGTTTACTGTTTATATATAGCTATCTCAAAGTCATAAATAGCATGTAGCTTAGGGGTAATGACTACCTTCAAAACGAGGAGAGAAGCTCCGCTTTCCACTTTGGAGGTTCCACTGCATCTGAGATTTGACGGGAAAGTGTCACAATCTTTTTCTAACTAATATACATTTTTTAAATTATTATTATCAGGCACACATATTGAATACAGGACTGAATGTGTGACACAAAGTCTCCCCGTAGGCTCCCTGCAGCCCTATCGAGCTTTCCCAGTTAGCGGTGAGGTAGCCTGACATCCCTTTTGCCCCCCGTGATGCTACATTTCCCACATTTTGCGCTACATCAAAAGTAGCCCTGAAGAAAACAAAACAAGACAAGCTGTTATTCCCTACGCCAGCTGTTCATTTTATGGCCGTCGGCGAGGGCGTTTTGAGAGGGGTTGGGAGGGAAGCATTCCCGAGGATTCCTCCGTCAATTTCTGCTAATTATAACAAGTCAAGTACTAGTACTAGTATTATTATTGTCAGCCGACGTCATATTTCAAACAAAATGTCCACCGGCACTAAGCCTCGCTTCTTGCCACTGCTCAGCCGCAGGAAGCCGTCCGTCTCCTCGTTCTTGCCCACGCAGATCTGCGGCAGGAGAATGTGGGGCGGGGCGGGGTGGGGGTGGTGTGAATAATCCGGGATTTGGGAAGGATGGCGAACACGATTATGGGCAAGGAAAGCGAGAATAGGTACGGCCGAGTGATTTGGACAATGAAATGGCCAAAGAATGGGAATCGGATTGAGAGGAAAGGTGGATGGGGGGGAAAAACAGAAACGATGGGATATGCAGGGGGTTAACAACGGGGATGAGGGGTGACAATATGGATGATGGATTGGGAGCAAGACAGGGCAGAAAGGAGACAGGGCAGAAAACAGAAAAAGGTGAGTTTTTCTTTCATGAGTTGGGCTGCATCACAACGCAAATGTGCCATCTTCTGTCACTTCAGCACTTTCACGCATCCATTTGCATACATTGTTGTTAATGTATTCGCTCGCTGTGTGCGTACGTGTGTGTGTGGGTGCGTGCGTGCTCACCTGGGCCTCTTTCACTGTCATCTGGCCTTTGTCTCGGTTGCCGTGGAAACCAGCCATGACCTTCCACACTCGCTCGCCAGGACGCACTCGCTGCACAAAGTTGGCAGGGAAATATCCCACCTTGCCGCGGCTTTTCCCCTGATGATCAAGCACAAAAGGCACTCTTATACTTTTACAGGGCAATCACCAGACACGACACTTGTGATCATTTTAGAATGACTTGGTGAAGCAGCAAGTGGCTCATTTCGGTAATTTTGGTTCAGAGTAACGGAGAGAGAGGGTTCAGGTTAGTGGCACATATAGTAAACTTGTGACTGCATACGTTTTACGAAACACGGACTACCTCCCCCTAGCCCCCACGCTAACCAGGCATCCTCACACCCACGCCCATTGAACTTCAAAGGCAACCAGCAGGCTCTCAAGTCTCGCTGCCTCGTCGGACTGGAGGAGGCTTGACTGATTGCACAAGTGCCAGGATGGCGTTTGCTCGCAAAAGGGTAATGGGAGGCAAGAACGAAGATGACGACGATGCTTCCAAACTCACCTTCCACCAGTCCTCATTGGAGTCATCTGTGACTTTGACACGATCGCCGGGCCTGAAGGATAAACCGAAGAAGCAGCTCGCATTAGCGGAAATATGATCTTGGGTTCAATTAGGGCTAAGTGGTCCGTACATTAAATTCATTAAGTTGATGAGTCAAACAGATTTCTTCTTCTTACTATTATTATTATTTTTTAATTAATGAGGTTTCCATAGCTCAGGATAGAAGAGGCTCCACAGAAAAAGATGTGTGACTCGCTAATAAATTGGTTGACTTCTTCCTGTCCCACAGGCCACGGAAATGTTTGTCTCCTTCCCAGCATCCCACCCGACAGGTCTCGAGGGAGGTCGCCAGGCCATTCTTCAAGCTACCATTATTACAAATAATAATAATAATGATGCCTACATACATAAACACACTACTAATGACAATGAAAGGACTGACTGTAGTTCCAAATCGTTGTTCTCCTGAGGCAGGAACTTGTAGAGAGCTACGTAGGTGTGCATGGAGTGGACTTCCACACGCTTGGGAGTCTAAAGAAAATCACACACACATTACTTGGAGAAAAAGAAGAGAGAAAAGGAGGAGGAGGAGGAAAGGAAAAAAGACAAGGAAGAATAGAAGAGGAAAGATAGGAGAGGAAGTGCTAATGCACACCTTTAGGCTGACTCGCTCTTCAGAATCTGCCTTCTCGCTTTCGGGAGGGGTGAGCACTGGACACACACACACAATGAGGAAGAAGAAAGACATATGTTTACATTTTGTGTGTGTGTGCATGTCTGGACAAAGCGTTTTGAAACAACAACTTAACACACTTCCTGGAATGGCTTCCTCTTCGGCGATTGGCTGATTCTCCAGCTTGTCTGGGAACTTCTCAGCCTGCCGAAGAAAAATCATTTGTGGTAGGTTCGGCGCGAGTCCTCGACCGATGCGTGTTTTTGCTACGCGTAAGCCAACCGAAAGTCGGCTACCTCGTGGCAGGGCGACTCGGAGATGCTGCCGAAGCTGCAGCGACTCATCTGAGCCAGCGACGTCCCGTAGCGCAGCGCTTCGTACACGGGGTCCACCGTGGCGCGGTCCACCTCTGCGAGACAACAAACGATACCGCGCATTTGACATCTAGTACCTGTAACAACGGCGGCGATTGTTTCAGCAGACAAACACGCTCCTCCCTCACTCACCCTGCACATCAGGAGTCTCCCTGACGACGCCCAGCGACTCAGTGGTTAGTAGAGGCGAGCTGAAGTTTCGCTTAAAAGCTCCCGTCTGAAGAGAGACGGCGTGCGGGGGAAGACGACAGGTGACAGGTA